ATCATGGGCCAGTGGAGCTCTTTTCCCAGGAATTTGAACTTCCCAGCAAGAGTTCTAGAGCTGATAAAGCCTGCCTCTGTTTTGTTTTTTTTTTTTACTAGAAAATCAACCACAACACCCGCCGGTTCCGCTTTGGATTGCCCTCTCCAGAGCATGTCTTAGGGCTTCCTGTAGGTGAGTGGGGTTTGGTGTCATCTCCAGGGCTCAGCCTTTGAGGGCTAGGTACTCTGTTCCTATCAGAAGCACAGGTTTCCAACCTCCTGAGGTATGAGGTTTCCCTGATACTCTTCCTGAACCATATGGACTCAGGGAGAAGAAAATGGGCTTGAGATCATTCTTCATTATTCCATTTGGGTTAACTAAAAGTGGTATCTTAATAAGCATTGAAAAAGAGATGATGCTAGAGTGAGAAGATCTAAGATCTCATTGAAGGCTCCTTGGAAGGTTCTTTGATGGGCATCGTTAACCAAGTTTCTCAACCTTTCTGATCTTCAGTCTATGAATTGGGATTTCCCAGGCCCTGCCTGCCTGCTTCATTTACATTATAGTAAGGGTAAGGTGATTGACAGATATGAAAATTCAGAAACTGCAAAGCATTGTGCACATAGGAGGGAAAGGAGGAACTGATGTTCCTCTGCAGTTAGGAGAATGCTCAGAATTTGGGGTAGGCAGGTACCTTCCCCTCACTGTGGATTTTCTATAGGGTCCCCAGATCTACACAAGCAGGAACTGTTGTGATATCAGTCCTAGCAGTCTTAGAGTTCCAAGCTACCCTGTTTTCAATCTGTAACATCTCTAGACAGCTGAGTCAGTCTGTAAGGTGGAAAACTTCAGGGCCTAGGGATCCAGAGAAACTTTGTATAAACTACTTGTGTGGCTTGCTTCCTGTTAGATATCCTAATCCTCAGTCTACTCTTCTCATATGAACAAGAGAAAACCTTAACCTCAATTCTATAGGGAATAAAATTATACACTAGGCAGCTAGATTGGCCCATCAGCCTCCTTGATACTCCCTAATTCCTTCTCTGTGCATGACAGTGCAATGTCCTGCTGCCTTCCAGCCCTCTGACTAGCCTGTCAACAGTCCTGTTTATAGAAAGAGTAAAAGAATGAAAAACTTTGGAGAAATAAAGTTTCCTTGGTCCTGGTGGAAGCTGTGCAGTTAGTGGGATCAGGGTAATTTTAGTGAGTTCTGGGAGAATTTGATATGAGGACACAGGATATTGCTGATGCTTCTCAACTTAGCTGACATTAAGCTAGTTAGAGATAGGGCCCAAGGGACCAGTGGGTCAGCCCCAAGTTGTCTGGGGTTGCTGCTAGACTAAGCCCAGGTTAGCTGCATCTGAATAGCCTTTCCAGGTTCCCAGTATCAAGTGAGCTCTCAGAAGGAGGCTGCTCCAGGCCTGTGTGCCTGAGTATCCCTGGTACCCGGCCACACCACAGTCAGTCATCGAGTGTGCTTACACCTCAGACCTCAGGGCCTCCTCAAAGACTCTGGTTTATGCTCCAGAAACAATTTCAAGGACTGGCTTCTTGACTGTTCCACTCCACCACCTTTCTTCCTCCCTACCGTCTTTTCCCTACCCCTAGACAGAGCCTCTATCTCTACTCTAAAGTCTCCATTTTTCTGTATGTATCCATAGTGTGTTGTCTAATTTCCTGGGAAAACCAGTTTCTACTTCCTCAGAAACTGACATGTATTCTTTTCTTGCCTCTAGTGTTAGTGCCTCTTGGTAGCAACTCTTATCCTCAGCACTAATTGCCATGGTCACTGGAGTCTCCAGTTTAGATTCAACAGAAGTCTAAGCAGCCCAGCATATCATCTGATACTGGGCTTAGTCTCAGTGTCATACGAGTGTGATGAATTCCACTCTGGAGGGGCAGAATTTCATGGTTCAGAATGTTATTGCTATCCCTCAGTGGAGCCACAGGTCAGAAAGACACAATGGTGTTGCTTTATTTGGTCCATAGGTGTCCAGATACTGGGGCCCTGCAGTGTCTATGAATCCCAGGCCTGTTCTGTGCCAGGCACTAGGATACAGATGGGGTAGCTGTGACTTATTCACAGACCCCAGTGGTACATCCAGTTCAGGAAGAAATGAGTTTGTAAAGATAAACATTTTTATTTGGAAGCAAAATTCACCCTCCAATTTCAGTTAGCTTCTCTTCCTCTACAAATTACTTAAATTATGATCACATCTGAACAGGTGTATCATCACCCCCACTTGTGTATGTGTGTGTGGTGGGTGGGGGTGTTAATGGGTCCAACCCAGAGCCTTGCACATGCTAGGCAAGTGTTTTAGCACTAAGCCACAACCCCAAGCCCATCATCCCCATTTTACAGATGAAGAGACTAAAATCCAGACAGGTAAAGTGGCCTCTCCTGGGATCCTGGATTTGAGCTCCTTCCCCACTTGCCCCCTCTTTACATCTTGCTGCAGCATTTGCTCCTTCACTGAAGTATAGTCCTTTCTGGGATTCCCAGGTCCTCCTTAGGCTGGCTATGCTCAGGCTAATATTTGGTGCCTCTTCTGTAGGTAACTATGTCCATCTCATGGCCAGAATTGATAATGATTTCGTGATCAGGGCATACACACCTGTCTCAAGTGATGATGACAAAGGCTTTGTGGACTTAATTATAAAGGTAAATTATATAAATGATTATAAAGATAAAAAAAAACAAACATGTGCAGCTGTTTACTGTGGGTGTCAGGGTAGAGGGCAGTACTTTTTCTGTGAGGTTGCTCATGCCCCAAGCAGGACTTTCCAGCAGTGTCATTTAACAATGGAGCTATAGTAAACCGAGTGCAGTCTTTAGGTATTGCCCATAGCAATTGTGGGAGTGGGTCATTTTCCCTGTGTGGCTTTCTGTAGCAGATGCATTTTCTAGTTGTGTGCAGCTAGGGCCATAGATCTGAGCATGTGAAAATCAGGTTGCCTTGTTTTTCAGATCTACTTCAAAAATGTACACCCTCATTATCCTGAAGGGGGGAAGATGACTCAGTATTTGGAGAAAATGAAAATTGGGGACACTATCCTTTTTCGAGGACCAACGGGGCGCCTATTTTACCAAGGGCAAGGTACTGGGGTAATCACACTAAATCTCCAGCTGGGAGAAAGGAGATTCCTGCACTGGTTTTATTGTCATCCATATACCCACCTCACAAGGTCCTAATCTTCATGCGGTGTGTCTTCACTGTATCTCCAACTCAGTACCTGAGACATAACACTGAAAATGGATGATGGGTGGAATCCAGGCTGATTTGTTCTCTTTCATTTGCTACAGTGGGTGAGAGTGCTTTGTGAGGTTCCATATTAGCTTCAGCTTGCCTTTTGCCTCAGAAGAGAAGGCCCAGAGGTTCCCTGAGGAGGCCCAGGCTCTTCCTTCCTTCTGGGGCTGGTAGAGGAAGCTATCATGGCCTGCTTCTCTGGCAAGTCTCTTAGATGGACTTGCTTCCTGGGAATCCTAAGGAAAGTCAGTAATCTTTTGCAGGCTCCCAGACAAGAGCTGCAGAAATTAGAAGCATTCTCTGTTTCCAGGAAACCTTGCAATCAGACAGTACAAAACGAGCATGCCTGAGAAAAAACTGGTCTGTCACTTGGGAATGATTGCTGGGGGCACAGGTAAGAGGTTTCTGGGGGTGTCATCCAGAAGGTGAGCCCTAAGATAATTCTGACTTTGACTTTGGAGTTATTGGAGAAGGCATGGCACAAGAGATTCTTTCTATAGCCATGGTGGTGGGAATGTGGAATTAGTATAGGTCTTGAACCTGGCCCTGTGTGCCCTGCTCCTCTGAACCAATGTGGAGGCTGTCCAGGGCCACAAAGAGTCTTACATGGAAATCCAGGGTCATGTGGAAGCTATGTAGCCAGGTGGGGCCGACTGGACTGCCCCTGGTCTCCCAACAGTTTCTAGACTCATTCCAATCCCAATTCTCCCAACCCTTGGGAATAAATAACTGACTGAAGAGAATAAACATGGAGACATACAGTGTGCCAGGTACCATCGTAGGCATTTTAAAAAGCATCACATTTACTTATTAATTAAGGTATTAATTAAGGTACTAATTCTGTTTTGCAAATGAGTATACTTAAGAGCTCAGAATGCTCTTTCCATCTTGCCATATGAAACTGAAAAAAGGCTTTTGAATTACTTTGCATTTGAAAGGGACAATAAAATGAAGGACTGTTCCCCACTTTGAGTTTGGGGACAGAAGTGAAAAGATAGCAGGGCTAAGGGAAACTGCTAAGCTGCTGCAGGCCAGGAGACAGGAGAAGCTGTTCTGCCTGCCCACTCACTGTGTTCCAGGCATTACGCCCATGCTGCAGCTCATTCGCCACATCACCAAGAACCCCATGGACAAGACCAGGATGTCCCTCATCTTTGCCAACCAGGTCAGTTCTGCAGAGTCAGCCCTGAGCTTGCAGCTGGGGAATGGAATGTTCGCTGATCTGGGGCTCTGCATTCATTCCTCCCCACTGACCAAGCGCGTGCTGCTTGGGTGCCTGTGGCTGTGGGAGGGCTTAGTGGGCAGCTGGAGAAGCCGAGTCCAGGCTCCTTTTACTGCTTGTTTTTGTTTTTCTGTCATCCCAGCCAATACTGTAGCATCCATATCTCCTTGATATATATTTCTTCCTTCCTTGATACATATTTCTGATTTTCTGAGTACAAAATCATAGATGCTCTCAGTGGAAATTTGGAAAAAAAATAGAGAAACATATATGTTTTTACTTATTCTTTTTATGTGCTATATATTTCTGTGTGTGGTGTGCATGTGTGTGTATATTGTTTTCACTTACATTACCACATAGGCATTTTGTTACCCTTAAAATTCTTCATGAGCTGGGCACAGTGGTGCATGCCTAGAATCCCAGTGACTCAGGAAGCTGAGGCAGGATTGCAAGTTCCAGGCTAGCCTCAGCAATTTAGCCAGGCCCCAGGCAACCTAGCAAGACCCTGACTCAGAATAAAAATTAAAAAGGAGAACAATTTTAAAGGGCTAGGAATGTGGCTCAGTGGAAAAGCATGCCTGGGTTTAATCCCTAGTATGTGCTATGCGCCCCCCCCCCAAAAAAGATGGAAAGACAAAAAATTCTATGAATATTTTCATCATAGTCTGTGTCAATTTTAGATTAAATTTACTAAATCTACATTTTTTCCAGTTTTCAGTTATTAATGCTAAATGCCTGATGACTTCTAGATTATTTTCTTAAATGGAACCTCGGAAGTGGAAAACTGAGACAAGAGTCTTGAAGAGTTTTATGATCCATACCTTCTGTGTACTCTGAGCCTGTGTGTGACAAGTGACTTTGGCTCCTTTCCCACATGAGGCTCCAGTCTGTTTTCTTTTGTAGTTCTATGGTGGTGTCTCCTGAATGACTTCTTAGTCCCTACTTTCTTGCAGAAGACCTGAGCCTATAGTGAGCTTGTTCTAGTTGGTTCTGCCATTCCTGGTGCCTAATGTGAAATTAGGAGGTGGGATGGGGACTTCCAAGTGAAGCCACCCAGCCTGTACAGCCACAGTCTCTTTTAGCAGCAGTTACTGCTGCATTGTGGGAAATGTCACCATCCCAGCATCTCCCTCCATGAGAGGATGGGTTTGCTCTGTAGGAGCAGCAGAACCCTTGTTTATCCTGGGAGTCTACTGCATACACTCAAGCAAGGGTGGTGGCAGCTTGGGCAGGAGTGTGTGGAAGGACATACAAGCTGTCCATGGAGGGTCTTTTATAATGTTCCTTCTTTTCTAGACAGAGGAGGATATCTTGATGAGAAAGGAGCTGGAAGAAATTGCCAAGACTCACCTAAACCAGTTCAAACTGTGGTACACCCTGGACAGGCCTCCCCTTGGTACGAACCCTGTTGCTTCCCTCACTGTGGGTCAGCTCCAGGCTTTGATCCACCTCAAGAACTGGCCTCTTATTTTGTTTTTGATGACTGAGTTTGAGCATTTGGCTTTGGGCTCGGGATCCATATGGGAAATGCAAGTGTTGAGGGAGATAGGATTTGGATGGCCTGCTTGTAATGGTGACAAAAGGCATGTGTCCAGTATCTCAGGAGCATTCCATGAATTGTACTGAACATCAAAAGGAACACGGAGCCCCAGGGCTACTCTCAATACCATAGTCATCACACACACTGCAGCTGATATGGCCACTGGTCTTTTCACCAGTCATGTCATTGCTCATGGCCACTGAAGCCCTCCCCATCCATCTCATCTGGACAGCAGTTGTCATATGCTAAGCCTCAGCCAGCACCCCAGCAACCATCATGCACAATGTACCCTGTGTGGCATGTCTCACACACTGTACCTGTCTTGTCATATGGCTCACTACCCAGCAGAGGGCGCTGCCCAACTCCACAAACCCCACACTATTTCATACCATACCCTGACAGCTCCAGCTCACTATCCTGATTCACTATACTCTAGTACACCTCATCATAGAGTCCTTCACCCTCCTCAGTGCTCACAGAAGTCAGCCATCAGCAGGGGCCTCTGAGTCCCAGCCATGCCTGGAATATGGGGTAAATTCTGTCCCCTTATCCTCTTCTTGGGCTTATTACAGGGAGCTGCAGTACAGACTTCTAAGCCTTTGTAGAGCAGCCTGGTCTACTTAGCTGAAAGGAGGGAGGGCAGAAGCCTAGCATGGGGGTGCTTAGCCTGCTACCCCATGACTCTTTCCTGCTGTGCTTCATTTCAGGCTGGAAGTACAGCTCAGGCTTTGTGACTGCTGACATGATCAAGCAGCACCTCCCACCTCCTGGGAAAACCACACTCATCCTGGTTTGTGGCCCACCAGCCTTGATCCAGACAGCGGCTCATCCCAACCTGGAGAAGCTGGGTTATACCAAGGATATGATTTTCACCTACTAGTATCTCCTGTACTCCTAGAAAATTTCCTGGGACCCTTTCCTCTATTTCAGAGTGAGTTCAACTTCTCCATATTAAACTGGGATGTTTTTGAAGGTGCATCTCTATGCACCCTTGGGCCCCCACACTGGCATTCCCCTTTTGAATTTGGGGCCTAAGAAGAAGTGTTCAAGAGGCTGGAGACAAAGTGACTTCTGAGACCTCCTGCCTTGGAGGCTGGAAAGAGCTCTGTTATGGTTATCTTTCTCCATAGTAAAATAAACTTAAGTAGTCAGCAGATAACACATGAAGTATGATTCTGTGAGAGACCCACTGGGCCTTGTCTGCCCTGCTTGAGAGTTGGCTTCTCTATGTCCCTAAGGGGGTCAGAACTGCAATAGTGCCACAACAGAATTCCAGCAGAATCCAAGTAGGATCACAGTAACTCCCAATAATCTCTCTTGAACCTCTCTTTAGAGTCTGCTGCTTTTAAGGTCAGGCCTACAAAGTCTCAGGCACCCTCCATAATGCACTCTTCCTTCTCTTCTGGGACACCTTGAAGTGGGAATGGGATTAAAGGCACACACATTAGGGCAATAAATCCCAGAGTAAGTAGGCTCTGGGAACTCCTTCCAGACTCCCTACTTTGGGCACAACACACGGAGGCATGGAATGGATTATTTTTTGAGAATACTGACCTGGTATGGGGCAAGGGTAGAGATGGTTACATACATAACAGAAGTTTCTCAACTTGCATGCAGGTTCCAGAAGCTCTGCCTTAAATCCAATCACTAACCCCTAGTGATACAAGGGACTATTATTGCCATCTGCTGCCCAGGACCAGGACAGCATGTTGCCGCTCTGTTATCTGAGTAGGCCAGAGATCTTGAGGGGATTTTGTTCTCCAAGCTACAGATGAGGAAACAGGTTACGAAATTAAGTGTTCCCACTAAGTGTGCAGCCAGTAGGTAGCATAGCTAACTTTAAAAAATGGGTCTGTTTTATTCCAAGTTATTCCTCTTTTCACAAAAACTGACATAATGGAAGCAGTATTGACCTTGGTACCACTGGATTTGTTCCCACTGTATATGTGTATGCAGGACAATAGGAAGGGCAGAAGGAGCACAGAAGATGAATGCAGCTCCAGGGAACTCTCTGCAGTACAGCTGTCTTGCCCACAAGTGGCCATACAGTGGAATGGTCTCACAGAAGGCCTGTGGGAGGTCTGAAGGGAAGGGCTGGCCAGGCTTCATCTACCTACCCATTCAGCATGTCTTCTGGGAATCTCCTGCTCAGGGAATGACACTTTAGCTGGGTACTTTACCATAAGATCCTGACCTCAGGCTTTGCTCTAATTGCAGATCTGACCATGCTTGTTACCTACCTACTTTAAATCCTGCTCTGCTTGTACTCTATTACCCACCCTGGCCACTCCTCTGTCTCTATGACATATTCCAGGGGCCTAGTTTGCAAGATCTTTCTTGATTGGGCTCCTGCTGACCTCATTAGATTTTTTTATTTCCTGCACCTCCCTTCCCTGATTCATTCTCTAGCCCAATGGTTCTCAAATGGGGGGTTTTGTCCCTCCTCTAATGTGGGAACATTTGACAAAATATGGAGACATTTTGGTTTCACAACTAGAACAAAGGTGCTGCTGGCATCTAGTGTAGAGATCAAGGATGCTGGTCAGCAGGAACCTGATCAAGAAGCAATTTGAGGTCAGGACTGGGCTTACCCATATAAGAGTAAAAGCTTCCTGAGGGACATAGAGGTAGTATCTGTGCTCGTCCTTGACAGGCAACATTTGGCTTCATGAAGGGGACTGGGAGAAAAATGGATACCACAGGGAGGGAAAGGATTAAGCAAAGGCCTGGAGGGAAGGAAGACTCAACAGTAGGTTCAGAATGGCTGATAATGGAGAAGGGCCTGGGATGCTCATCTGTGGTAATTTAACTGAGGAGTTCTGAACAATGACAGGATTAAAACTGTTTTGGGAGGTCATCATGGGGATGGGGTAGAGAAATGTCTGGAGGGGACCAACTGGAATGATGAGGAATTAAGAAGACCAGCTGCAACAATTAGATGAGAGATGAGGTTGAAACTAGAGCATGGGGGTGGGAGGGAGGAAGGGGCTGGTTGGGAGGGGACACTGACTGGGGCTTAGTGGCAGCTCTCTGAAATGGGACACATTAGAAAGGGCACAGCTTGTTTGGGAAGATGATGAGTTCCAGTAGAAATGAGTTTAGGGTGTGCAGAAGCTTTCCACTGGGGGGAGCTATTTAAGCAGACATTCCGCTTAAGGACAATGAGGGAAAGGCCTCAGAGATTGGTACACTCTGTGTCAGGATAAGATGAGGGAGTGTGTGTGTGTGTGTGTGTGTGTGTGTGTGTGTTGGGGACTCCTCTGTGCAGACACTGGGAGGCCCAGAAGATCCCCACTGAAGATGGGCGAGCATGGAGGGCAGCCAGGGCAGCAGGAGAGAAGTCCCACAGCTCTTGCCCTGAATACCCTCCTCAGCCAGATTTCTGTGAATGGAGAAGATGCTCCTGTGAAGCAGCCCAGAGAGAACTCCCATAGTCCTTTCACCCCACTCAATCACTATAGAACATTCAGAACACTTTTTTTCCTAACTTTTTTTCTTTTTTCCAGCAGAGGATTTATGACTAACAGTTCTTCCCCTTTGGTGTAAGAGCCTCCCAGCTGTCACCAGGAACAGCATGAGCCATTGAGTCCATGCACTGATATCTCATTGCACTCCCCACAAAGTGGTCTGTAGTCCATGTATAAAAGTACAAAAGATAGAAAGGCTTCAGTAAAGAACACAGCACAGTTGAAAACACTTAGGAACATGGGGGCCACCTCCTGGACACCTGTCCCATCATTCTGCTTTGCTTGTCAGCACCCACATCTGAGATGTCCCACCAGCTCCATCTGCATAGTACAAATGGCTGTGTGCCAGTTCCCCATTGAGGCAAAGACTTAGGGCCCCACATGTGCCTCTCTGGGCTCTCGGCCATGAAGAATGTCATCTCCAGTCATCAGAGTTGGGGGCAGCCAGGCAAGAGTCATTCAGCAGCTGGTCCTGGCTCAAAAGAGTCTGAAACGACATAGCCAAAGGGGCAGTTTAATAGTTTTGGCCAAGGCTTCCCTACAACAGCTACATAGGGAGCAGAGGGGGCACTGGGTATGGTCTGACAGATGCCTGTAAGTTCCTGGTATCCCGGGGACCCTGAACATTGGGTCAGAATAGACAGTACTATTGAGGTAAAAAAAAAAAACCTGCTCGTCTTAGAGGTAAACTTGCTATTTCAAGGCCACAAAAGGCCTATTAGAGATGATAGGGTAAGGTTGGATAGATCCATTGTGATGTATGAGCCAAGAAACGAGAGGAAACCTGCTTGGATCCAGAAGACTCCTGCCTTGCCCTTAGACAGAGTCTTCTAAACATGCCTCAGTAGATCAGCAAGCAAAGTACAGTGACAGGGGACTCAGTGTTGATAGACACTATAGCTACCAGGCTCAGGGATGGGCTATGAAGAAACTAAAAGGTCTGAAAGGCATGGGGCCTCAAAGACAATTTGTGCTCTGTAACTAGCCATTTTACTGCCAGCTCTTATCTGCATATAACCCTTGCAAAATGGGAAATACAGGTAACTAAGCCAAAGCTCAGATAGGGAACAATACACCTAAGGTAAAAATCAGATGAATCTGCCTTTCTCCAAAGCTGCTCCTCTTCCCCTGAGACTGAGCTGCCTGCCTCCACATGATCTGATTTGTTCTCTTGGGTATATGGCAGTATATGCTAGCTTGCCTGTGATGTCCATGATGATGGGAAATGCATGTGTCTCATGTCCAGAGAGGAAAGAACCATGTCCACTAGGCCAGAGGTGAGGGCTGGGCTCTGGGCTGACTACACAGGTGGTTTAGGGCTCCTGAACATCTAAGTTTCTTCACCAGCTCTGAGGTGGGGAAGAGAACCATAAACCTAGTATGTCTTACCTGGCTATAGCTAAAGGTCTGTGAGCTTTCAGATGCCCATTAGTGACTCAAGGCCTAGCAATCAGTCAATGCAGGAGGCCCCTAGGCTGCTTTCTGCCTTTCTGGGCTGACTCAGGCTTAGGCTGTGGCCTCAGGGCCCAGCACAATCCTTTACTCTCCCTTATCCTTGAACAACAGCCCACCAAGCACCAGCCCTACTGTGTTGGGGTGGGGTGGGGGGTGAGGGTCTGAGTCCTACCGTAAGGCGATGAATGTCTTGGGAGAGGAGCCCTATCTGCGTCACAGTACCTTCGGAAGGCGCCATCTGTAAAATGGGCAGCAGTCTGGTCAGCACACACAGATGCAGCTTGTAACTTGCAGAGACGGCATGCAATGTCCATCCTGCTCAGGCCTGGCTTCTCCAGAGCATGCTTCCCTGGAGGGTTGGGCAAGGAGTGTGCCAAGCCTTGAGAAGTGGCAAGTGCTGGGGTACGTGCTGCTTCTGTTGCTGAGGAAAGGTGTCCAATGTCCCACACTGCATGCACACACTTTCATGAGGCCACATGTCACATCAGCATTTAGGGCACAGAGAAGCAGGGCGCAGGTATAGCCTGTGAGAAGCAGCTCTGCTGCACATGTTCACTGTTCCAGATAATTCCAGGAGAAGAGAATAGCAGGCCTTTAGGATGCTGGATAGAATGACAATTTCCAGGTACCAACAGGATGCCAGATACCGATGCCCCAGTATAGATGGACATCTTCAGGAAGCTGCTGCCTCCTCCCTATTGAGGAGCCTTCCTCCCCTCCCCTCCCCTCCCCTCTTCCTTGGATAATGCTGGACTTCTTCCCCAAGGTGATTTAGACATTGTAGGTTTGGAAGCATTCTTTATATAGATTTGTAGGATATCAAGTGAAACCCCTTTTTTAACAGGTGGAACAATTGAGACCCACAAAGAGAAAAGAGGACTTCCATGTGGCTGTGGAGAGAATTAGTAGCAAAACAGTTCCATGCAGGGTTTGAAAACAGGCACATGCAAAGTCTCTCACCAGGATATGATAACAAAGAAATAAGGGATAAAGCTGGCCTGACTGGCTGTATAGCCACAATGGCCAAGGATTAGCCTGAAGGAGTGAGTGCCATTCAGTTGCCCTGAGTGCCAGGATCGAACACCAGTGTTCCCAGCTGACAAGCTTGTATCTACATTTCTCACCAGCTGGACCTCAGTGGAGGTGGTGGTTTGAGAAAATAGGCCATGTCTGAGGCTGCTGGTGGTATAAGAAGCAAATCTTAGCAGCCTCTCCATCTGGGACAGAATCAGAGTGCTACAATGGAGTCACTGGCCCTCCCCACTGTCAGATGATTATGACACTGCTGTTATTTTTCTGTAGATGAGGCCCAAGGGACCCAGTGAAGCCAAACACTGGCCTGGGGTGAACTGGAATCTCAAGAGCAGGAGCTCAGCCTGGCACCACATGACTCTGTCTTTGGCCAGACAGCGCCCATCTGGAGGGCCCATTATCAGCTAGTCAGCCTCTAAATCAAGAGGCCAGATCTGCTTCAGCCCTGCCAGCCCAGGCGAACCATCCCCCACAACAGTTATGAGAAGCTGGCAGAACACGTGAAAGAACAGAGAGTGTTGCCAGCAAGACATCCCTGCTTGTTACCCCCACCCTCATTTAGTGAACCGGAAACCAACTTGGGGTCTGTACAGCAGATGTGACCTATAGCCAGGATGTGCATGAGACCCAAGTTTCCCCTCTGCTTTACTGAGGGAGGTGGGGCCTAAGGCAGTCCTCTCTGAAGGATACAAAGAGGAAAAAGGGGTCCCTCTTTGCTCCATCCCCCTTGGGGAATCCTGACTGTGTACCTGGATTGGGCTCAGTGCCATAGGCTTTTAAGCTACAATCAGTAGGGTTCCATTTCCAGCTATGCTCACCTTTCTTCCCCCAACAAGATTAAAAATATGTTGCACTGTTTACTTCCTACATAAATATTGTTTTTATTATCAGAAAGAAGCAACTACCTCTGTAGAGAAAGACATAACACAATTACACTGTCACCATGGCAGAAGTCCCTGCCATTTGTCTCTTTGATCTCAGCCAAGATTCTCTGGCCCATAGACATAAGGCACTTGAGCTTTTCTTTCAACCGCAGCACAGGGGAAATGCCTGAGAGTGGAGTCTTTGGGGATTGTTCATAGTCTCTGGATCTGTGTCTAAGTTCATGCATATCTGGTGGTGCTGAAGTTGGCTGTTTAAAATTACTAAGAATGTAAAAGCATCTTTAGGGGTTTTTCATCCTGAGTCCACCTTTGACAACAGTCCCCAAAGCTTGCCTCTTCAAAGTATGAAGAGAGATTGGCCTAGGGCTACATAATTGCTGGAATGTTCTCTGCAAGTCATGCACATGAGCAGGGGGTGAGGTTGCAGTTATGATGGCACACGTGATGTTACTGTGTTTTCAGGTGCACAGAGAGGGCAGGTGACAAGCATCAGCTAACCTGTCCCACCTGGTCCAACTCATCCAGTTCAGGAGCATCAAGGGGGCTGAGGCCTCGGCAGCCACTGTAGACCCGGTGACTATCACTGATAGCATCATTAGATTCCATTGGGCAAATGTAATCTGTGGATTCATCAAACTTCTTTTTTCTTATGTTTCCAAAATGTGAAAATCCCAGTTTCCTTGGCTAAAATACAGCAAATACAAGATTATGGAAAGATTACTACTCCAGTGTGCAGATATGACTGACAATATATTTAAGAACAGTCCTAGGAGGAAAGAACTAAGGCAAAGTGCTTCTTGAAAAAACTGAACCAAACAGGTCCTGTAGGCAATTTCTATGCTGAGGAAAGGTCAAAAGATAAATAATCCTAAATAAGAACTGCTCCTCCAAGACTGTGGGAAAACTCATTCCCATTGTCCTATTTTCCCAGGAACTTTCCTATTTTCCCAGATGGACTCAGTTCCTACTAAACACCAGCCTGCACTTGAGGCCAAGCATGGAGGACTTGCCTCACCACATTTGATGACAGCACACTAGGGAGCAGCACCCAGTGCCTTTGATACCAGTGCTTTGAGAGCCACACCAGATGCCCTGGGTTGGTCTTCCTTCTTGCTTTAGCTTTGCCCAGCACTGGACTCCCCCCTTGCTGTATCTGGAAAGAAGGTTAAGCTCTGTGAGCTGTGCTGTGAGGCACCATCATGCCTGCTGGGGAGGGGCCAACCTGGCTTCCAGAGAGTGAGTCTGTGGGCCTGTGATCTGAGAAGGACATGGTGGGGATGTTGTGGCTCAGGAAGGGCTTTGTGGGATTTAGGGAGCCCACAGATGCTTGGTCTTGGTACTTGAATGACTTCAGATTAGGGATATGGGACAGCTGTGTGCAGGCCACATCACAGAACAGGACAAGTGGAACCAACTGCAACAGGAGCACTCCCCATGCTGTCAGGATAGCTTTGACTGAGTCCCCTGCACTATGGCACACAGATGGGCCTAATGGAAGGGAATCTAGATCAGGAATACATCTGCCGTGCAAAATGAGTAACAGTAGCACGGAGTAGAGGACAAGCTCCCAGCTACCTGAGAATAGATGCTTCCTGAACATGGCCTCTGTGTAAAAAAAAACCTGTGCTCTCTTTCTTGGATTTAGGACAGGTAGTCAGTAGGCCTAATGAAGACAAACAGACCAAACTCCCACAGCAGAAGCTGAGTGCTGCTCCTGGTTCTCAATGTATATACTGATCTGGCTCCATGTACTGAGCCAGTGGCTGTATGACCTGACAGCCAGAAGGAAGTCCCCAGGGGTAACCCAGAAAGAGTATAACAACTCACCCGGACTTTGGCCGTGGTAGTCAGTGGTGTATAAGCTGGTGAGGCCATTTTATCTCGCTTTTCCTGTTCAGCCTCAGGACCAATCAGGGCACTGAATTTGGTGGTCAGGTGGCGCCTGAGGAGCGTCTTCTGTGGTGGGATATTGAGAAGCATGGCCAGGGTATCCCCAGTGAAGCGTGGTTCCAGGATCTAAGAAGGAATCATAGACAAATTTAGTCAGTGGCAACAGATGATACCTAGTAAGTAATAGGGAGAAACCGGCCTTCAGGGCCTTAGGGTGCCTTCAAAATTAGGCTAAAGCTCATACCCTTGTTCTATGTCTTACTTTCCTCTCTCTACCCAGACGAGGCTTGGCTTTGAGCAGACACTAGCATATTTGTTAAGTGACCATCTCATTTTCACAGACCAACAGAGAACAGGGACCTCTTTAGGATGTCTCACAGTCTCTTACAAGTCTTGAACCTTATATGTTCAAACCACCACCTCCAAACAGCCATACCACCACCTCCATATTTCTTCTCTGGCTTTGCCACTTGACAGACCTGAGTTGTGATAAGGATTATATCATGGTAAGCAGGAAATTACATTTGATGACCTCCCCTTCATTTCCCAGTCCCCCTGTTCCTCTAGAAGCAGGTAGAGCTGACTTGTGTAGGTCTGATTCTCATGCATTCCCACTCACCTGGGATCTCTCGGTCTGTAGTAGAGGAAGCCCTTCCAGAAGCTATCTTGTTTCCATGGGGTATATTAATTCTTACCCACAAATTATCAAATATTTTGAAACTTCAGATTCTATAAAGGTTTCAGATGAAGTATCTTTTTTTTTTTTTACTAGAATATATATTTGGCCCTCAGAAAATTAGTTTCTGAATACCCAAGTCTACATCAAAGCAACTGGGCTAGCCCAGAGTGCAACTCACAATAAGACCTCCATGGACGCCACTTCCTCGAAGGTTGGGTGCATACTCTGCCAGGTCCACAGATCGCAACCATTCCATCACCCTGTGGTTGGACCATTGCACAACTTCTGAAGGAGAAAGGTTACTCTGTGAGAGGAAGAAGAGTGAAGACATTAGACTTCATTGGTCCTACCACAGTCCTCTGTGGGGTCATCCCCTGTGAATGAATCTGCCCCAGAAGCCTCACAAAAAGAAGACCCTTGTGCCTAAAAACCCAGGCCAGCCAGACTGCCTCCCTGAGAGCCTTCTCAGTTCTGAGAAACAGCTCTTACTGGATCTTACATGATCTTCTACACTAAGACATCTGAATGCAGAATCCTGTTTCTCCCTAATTTTCCGGCTAACTTTGGGAAAAATAAATAAAGGCATGTAGTTTTTCATTCAATTATTCAACATAATTTTAAAGATTCACTTATGAGAAAAGTGTTTTATAAAGAAAAAGATCTTGTGGACAAATGTTTAGGGGAATGTTATGGTTTGGATGTGAGGTATGCCCCAAAAGCTCATGTGTGAGACAACGCAAGAAGGTTTAGAAGACAAATGGTTGGGTTAGGAAGGCCTTAACCTAAAACAGTGAATTAATCTCCTGAAGGGATTAATTCTGTGGTAACTGAAGGTGGATAATGTGTGGCTGGAGGAGGTGGGTCACTGGGGGCATGGCTTTGGGGTATATATTTTGTATCTGGCTAGTGGAGTCTCTCTCTCTCTCCTTTCTGATCATCATATGAGCCACTTTCCTCCACCACACTCTTCTGTCATGATGTTCTACCTCACCTTAAGCCCCAAGGAATTGAGACCTCTGAACCTATGGGCCCCCAAATAAACTTTTCCTCCTCTAAAATTATTCTCATCAGGTCTTTTAATCACAGCAGTGAAAAGCTGACTAAACAGGGAACACACATCAAGATACTTTAAAATGCCCAGCACTGGGCCTGGGCAAGCAAAGTATATTTGTTGAATACCAAGAAAACAGGAGGTGGAGAACAGAGGTAAGAGTCATTAATCCCCCAGGAAGCAGAGGTAGACAAAGTTTCCAGGAACAGAGGAGGTGGGATGTAATTGACAACACTTCAGTTTGGGGCCCACCAAGAACCCTGAGGTTCATGGAACAATATCAGATATATCATTTGGGTTGCTGTGTTTATCTGTAATGTTTCTTCTGTACTAAGACCTGCTCATGGATTCTGTATATCTGGACCTGAACATTGTTTAATTTTGTATACACAAGTAGGAAAAACTATTCTTAATGTATGATTTTGTAGGGCTCCTTGTCCCTTTTTCTCTAGTTTTTCTGTCCTCTGCCTGACACTCAAATTTCCACTTTGTATATCTCTTCCCCCTTCCTTTGCATCATCTTCTCATCTCCTGTAATCATTATGATGACTTTGAAAAACTTGTTGCCACAGACATTACATTTGTAATGTAAGGGAGAGTGGAAGATTTGGAGGTTTAGTGGCCACGATGGAATACAAAAGTACAAGCAACATGGGTGTTTTGGGTGCCAGAATCCCAAGCACCACAGTCCAAAATGCAGCATTTTGTGATTATGTAAATCTTATTTTTTCACACAGGATATTTCAAGTGTCCTGGCTCAGGGCTCCCTGCATAGCTATTATCCTGCCCTCACCTCATCAGCTGGGCGCCGATGCAGGCAGTGGGGGTTGAACTTGTTGACATGCAGCACATGAATGGCACATTTGATGCTGAGATGATGTAGCTGGCTGGTGACTTTTAAGAAGAGTAAATCATTCTGGAAAAGAAAAGTTTTTATGAGCCAGTTTCCAAAATGACAAGACTCTAGTGGTCCTTCCTGGTCTGGCCAAACAGACAAGACTTCCACATTTCAGGAAGGTGCATTATGGACATACCAACAGTTTCTCTTATCACAATGGTTTGTACTCTGCTACTGGGGATATCTTATGTAACAATCAATACTATTTCAAGGACTTCAGAATAAGATGGAATCAGGCTTAAAATAACAATCATGGGCATATCTGAGCCATATGCTCACAGATACAACTGAAATATTTAAAGGAAAAGTCCTTACCACAGTTAGGTATTGCAGCATTCGTCCATCAACTCTGGACTCATGAAACTGGTCTTTATATTGCGGTAAGCCAATATCATCAAGCCACCCTATAAATACAGAAAAAAAAATAGTTGTGTTGGGATTCCTGAGAATAGGAGCAACAATTATCATTTTGAGGTTCCAGTTTTTTTTCAGAAGATTTAGTAATCCATCTGCCTTTCACAAGGACACAGCTGTCTTTGAGGCACAAATTCAACATGGAAATTCTTTTTACCCTTAGGAACAGTCAGATACATACTTAATACATATATGCCTGTCCTTACGTGTCACCCAAATGTGATCCAGCAGCGCAGACTTCTCTTCCTGCTTGGTGTTGATGGCTTTCACTGCTAAAACAAGTTTCTTTCTATGAAGAGGGTGCTTAATTCCTAGTTCCTGAAATTGCAAGATGAAGACCAGATGTAAAATTTTGGCAGACAATTTGATCTCCAGAGGATGTTGTGTCAGGGTGGAGATGCTCTAAGAGTATGGCAGGGGATCTGTGCACAAGACCCTGGGATGTCAACCTGCAGTTACTAAGGAAATCCCAGCTTCCTGCCCATCTTCCTGTGTGTATATGGAGTGGGGGCCTTCACCTTCCCATGAATTGGTCTGGGGAGAAATAACAGCCTCCTCTCCCTGGGCTCAGCTCTTACCTTTTCCATGTCCTGAGGGGTAGCTGTCAGTAAAGTGTGGCCAGATGTCACCCATTGCCTGGCAAAGATCACATACTGAGCCAGGCCGAAGTCCTCAAGCCATGAACATACACGCTCTGTGCTCCACTGGGCAAAGGGGGCATTGGCATCACTGGGAAGCAGAGAAACAGTGTACTTTTGTAAGTTGAAAGTCTGAGGTTCTGCGTATAATAAAGCCTCATCAAAAAGGAACTACCTTTTAACAAACAACCCAACCATGGGCTATAGCTGAAGGAAATTCCACAACACACTCACATGAGGTACATTCAAGTCCCTTCCATAACAAATGAGTTTCAAATCCAGCTACTTAGAGACAGCTGACATAATCCTTAAGAGACTGCAGTCAATAGGTCCACATATACCTCAACATGTCACAATCCCAGAGCATGGCCCTATTAGGAAAAACACCTACAACTAACTCATTTTGTCCACAAGATTCAACACTCTTTTTAAGGAAAACACTTAGAAAGTTGGAAAAAGACAATTGGTTCTCTAACATTAAAAAAAAAAATCAACAGCCCTCCAATTAACAATAGCTAATATTAATAAAATACTAGGGACTTTCATATTAAAAATCAACAAAGAGACAATATATTTTTATCAGTACTTATTAATAATAATAACAGTATTCTGAGGATTGCATCAAAATATTATAATGTTTATTAGAATAAATAAAAGAAGTATAGCTACTAGAAAGGTAGACATAAAAGAAAATAGTTCTTTTCAGATGAGGGCTGCCTGCCTGGAAAGCTCAAGAGAGCTCAGTAAGGTGACTAGTAATAAAATACACACACATACACATATATACATATGTAATACGTATATTACAAGCAAAAATCAACCATTTTCTACACAGTACCCATGCACAGCTATTAAAGCATTTGTTAAAACAATAAAAATTCTCCCCCATACTAACCAAAATTATAAACGGCCTACAAATTGCCTTAACAAGGAATGTGTGTACCTGTGTATGTGATTGTGATGGGGTGGGGACCACAAGGGGGTAGAGTGGGGTGATATAGTAGCCATAATACTCAACTATGCAACATAAAAAAAAGACATTAATAAATGAAGAGTTAGATCATGTTCCTAGACAGGATGAGTAGTCATTAAAACCAACCATTCTTAGAGACATCAATTTTTCATTTAAAGTGTGAAAATAATGGAACATTCAAAATCCCCAAAGAAACTTTGTGGCAGGCAATGGACAAAGTAACTTTATATTCATTTTTAAAAATAAATGGGGATTTATGGAATATTAAAGACTAAATATTCAGAAAGATTTCTTTCTGTTGTCTGTTGGTATCCACAGGAAATTGGTTCTAGGACCCCCTGCAGATAGCAAATTCTGAGGGAGTCAAGTCCCTTACATAAGATGGAGTAGTATTTACATACAACCTACACATATCCCCCATAAACTTAAGTCATATCTAGATTATTTACATTACCTAATATAATGTAAATGCCATGCAAATAGTTGTTATACTGCATTGTTGGAAAATGATGGCAAGAAAAAAGTATGTGCATGTTCAGTGTAACCACATCTTCAGTACTCAGTTGGCTTAATGTGCAGATGCAAAACCACTTAATACAGAGAGCTGACCCCCACCCCTAACATACAGGAATACATTTTTTGAATACCTGGCGGAGCTGTTCTTAAAGGGAAAGGATTTCTTAAAGGGCCAGAATGACAAGAAAACACTATTCTAGAACCCTGGAGATGATGGAGTAGGATGGAGGTTGAGTCAGTCTTTCTTCTAGGATGACTGTCAATATTTTCTTTTATAATTATGAGAGTTTTAAAAAGTTTCAGCTTCACAATTTGTAATTGTAATTGGTATTGTCATGCACATTTTTAGAATTATTGATTAAATTTAGGAAAACTTCTATCAAGTATCTCTCACATATGAATGTTAAAGATTCATAAGTGCGTTTACTTCATTAGCAAGTACATTCCTGACAGGAGAGAATTTCTGTTTTGACTAAGCACTCAAGAGAACAAAATCTCCTGCTTAAGATTTTGCAGATCTGATGACTGGAAAGAATTTCCACAGACTAGCTTCTGGCTTTGTTACATCTAAAATATGGTTTTGTTTCCATTATCCCATACTTTTGGTATGGAATGCTAGAGGACACATTCATTTTAGAACATGACCTCTAGCATTCAAGTTTTCTATTGTCATGGTTAATCTTAAATATTTTTCAAATTAACAATATTCATTAATTGATGTGTTGTCCATGCTTTTTTGACAGTAGCGTTAAGTTTTATGTTATCTTTGCTTATGTTAGCATAAAATGTAAAATCAGCAAGAAATTTCAATCTTTTTACAATGTGTTCATATGATTCACTTTATATAAATAATACCTGAAAACATATTTACAATTTCTATTTGAAATTTATTTCTTGCACTTACTGCTTTTGATATGGTCTAACATTTTTTGTTGTAATTTATAATTTGTTTCTTAATATGAGAACAATTTCTCTGTTCCAATGCTCATTTTATCACTTTTATTTCACATGTTATTAGGGTTTTATTTCACTCATCTTCTCATTTCTGGAAATTGTGGGGAAAAAACAGAGATTGTATATATTAGAGAGGCATTTCAGTTTTGAAGGAGGAAATAAGAATTTTTGAGATCATAGTTTGAAAACTTCTGTCCTTCAGATGTTTCAACCAAACTAGAGTTCTGGTCCTCATTTTGGTAGTCTTCTCATTTATTGTTGTGTATACCCTCCCTACCCCACCTTGTGTTGTTTCTACAGTATCAGACCCAGAACTCCTCAGCTTCTGTCAAAGCCAGATCCCCCATCCCCTCTGCCAGGGATATGGCTGAACATGCTAGGAAATCATTTAGAAATGACAGAGAAGGTACTTCTCATACACAGCCAACAACTTATTTTATTGATACATTCCAAAACATCTTTCCAAATTGCTGTTAAAATGATATACTGAGATTATCAAATATGCCACCTCCATGATAGGGGAAAGGGCATGGCACATTCATAAGTGCATACACTTCATTAGCAAGTACATTCCTGACAGGAGAGAGTTTCTGTTTTGACTAAGCACTCAAGAGAACCAAATCTCCTGCTTAAGATTTTGCAGATTTGATGACCGGAAAGAATTTCCACAGACTAGCTTCTGGCTTTGTTACTTCTAAAATACGGTTTTGTTTCCACTATCCCGTACTTCTGGTATGGAATGCTAGAGGACACATTTCTTTTGGACAAAGTAACTTTATATTCATTTTTAAAAATAAATGGGGATTTATGGAATATTAAAGACTAAATATTCAGAAAGATTTCTTTCTGTTGTCTGTTGGTATCTGTTACTTCTAATTTGCATCTTTAGTTCTGGGCAACAAGCAAAATGGGAAGTAGGAGTGAGCACTGAAGCTTTTTTATGCTAGGATAGCTAGTTAACTAAACCCGACTGAACAAACTATGGAGTGATGGCAGGTTACATTCACAAATCCTACTCAACCTGAACTGGATCCCCAACTCAATTTCCCCTAAACCAGTTAGTTCTCAAAGATCCCTAAGTCTAGTCCATCATCATCTGATAAAAGGAAAACTATAGACAAAGGGAAAACCGGAATAAAAGGACTCATCGGTCTAAACACTGTGACCTTATATATGGATGGTGGAATGTGATGGTCATCCTTATACAAAATACATGTATGAAGATTTGAATTTGGGGCCAACATACTTATATACAAATAAAGATATGAAAAATGGTGGTACATATGTGTATTAAGAATTGTAATGTAAAAAAAAGAGTACATGTATAATGGCATAAGTTGGCGTGAACATACTGTATATAAAGAGATATGAAAAATAGTGCTCTACATGTGTAAGTAATGTACTGAAAAAAATAAATAAAAATAAAAGTAAAATAAAATAAAATACCTTATATATGTAAAACTTTCAAAACACTTAGCCCTGTCAACACATTGATTGATTTTCTCTGGACCCTGGAATGGGCCCATAAAGTAGGTGCCCTGGTAGCTTCCTTATAATCATGAAATATGACTCTGACCGCAAGTGTGGAAAAAAGACACACATACATACACACATAAATGGGACCATCAGTAGGCCAGTGATGTGACTGGAGGGAGACCCTTCATAAACCTGTGAGTCTTGAAGGGCAATACCCTCAGTAGATCAGCTCAGAGAACCCCTCCATAAAGATGGGATCCAGTCTATGGCTCTAGAATCTGTTAGCATTAATCATTACACTTTAATGTCTTTTTCCTAGGGCAGAAAAACAACAAAAAACCTCTTCTGCTAAGTTTTTAAAAATCATGTGTGCATGTTTAGTGCAAATAAAGTAAACAAAATAAAAAATGACTAAATAAAATTAGAAAAAATACAGATAGTTCACAAAAGAAGAATTAAAATGCAAACAAAATTAACAATAAAACTGTGAATTTTTTTTGGAGGTCTGTAAAAGAGAAATTTGAACAAAGAAAAATTTGAAACTTTTAAACTGACTAGGATATATGGGTGACAGGCTCCCCATTCCCAGCAGTGCTGTCTGGATGTAAATCCATAAAACTGTAATTTGGGGGAAAAGAAATAAAATTTGTTCATCTGTAATCAGAGAGTGCTCCAACAAAATGTTATTATCAACTACCTATTTAAAAAATAATTTGTTATCAGAAAAAGAAGAATTTTGGCTGGAGGCTATTATTAATAAAGTACTTTTCCTCGAATAATATTATTGACAACATTTTTTAAAGTTTTGCCTTGATATCTACAAATACTAGAGGACATTAGCATATAATTCTATAAATTTCTGCTTCAGGGTAATAAAGGCCTTTCTTTTCTCCCAGCAAATTCATCTTTGTTACCATAAGCACTGTTAAGATAAACAGCAATCTCATCAGGACTCTTGACTCCCATTCCCTTTATCAACCATTGTTTAAGATTAACAAAGCACAAAGACATTCTAACAAAGCAGCTCTGTGGCTGGAATGGCAGTTTTTTCCTTTGGCAGAGGTTTCTGACACTGGTTACCCCTTACTCTAAAGTGACTTGCAGAATACAAATGGATTCCCCCACTATGCAGCCCCACTCTGGAAAACACCTGAGTGAAGACCTGACAAAATCTATAAACCTGCCCATGGCAAGCTGGGGAGGGAAGTATCTCATACATGTGCAAAATAAGCTATGGTTCCCTTCCACAGGGGATGTACTACTGTAAACAATAGGATGTATTTAGGGAAATGCTCTTCCCTTCAGTTGGAATCTTGACTGCATTATTTCTGAGAATTAATTTTTGAGTTATGTACATTTTATCTGATAATTACCTGGACTTCACACTGGTATATGGCAATCTCAAGAGCACTAAACTTAAGATAGTTAGCCCGACTTTTCACCTTTTGGTTAGATTTTAAAGGGCACAATCCAATCCTTCAGAAGACTCCAGAAGAACTGACCTTAGCTCTGTAACTTAGACCTAAGGAGATATTCTGCTGGATGTGAAGTATCAAAATTAACAAAGCACAAAGATAGAAAAAGGGGCTTCACCAAAACAGGAGTAAAGATTAACCTGTTTAGGTTTGAAGGGAGACACTTTCTCAGAGCAGGAAAGCTATGGAAAGGAGGTAAAGAAAGTGTCCACCAAGGACACCTCTGGAAAAGCTTACGGTTCTTTATGTTTTTTTTTTTTTTTTTTAAATTAGGGCATGATGTAAAACTCACCATTTTGATTCCAGTGCCATTCATGCTTTAGCGATTACCAGCCCTCAGTAAAATGTGGCACAGTGAGATTATGAGGGATAATGGAAGATGCAACCTGCTCCACTCACACCCTCCTGTGGAGTCTGTGGAAGGAGTGGGCTGCCCACAGGCAGTAAAAGGAGGTTCTCTTTTCCAAATAGACTAGGGGATGTTGACTCTTGTGTGGCAGACAGCTGGTGCTTGGTTTAAATGTATTCCTCATAAGAATTTCTTAATAAAATACTCATATTTGATCTCCATTTTACAAACTAGAAAATGATGAATAGAGAGGTTATATAACTTAGCTAGGAAGTGGTTGAGCAGAGATTACAACCTATGTCTGGGATTCTAGGAAGGGTGCTCTTAATGGCTTCAACAAAGCTTCTCAATCCAGTGTGCAAAGGTATTGCTGATAATGGATTATAGATATGCAGAACTGTTTTAGGCCCTCCTACCACCACCACCCTCCCATCTCCAACTGTAGAGAGCCTCTTGCCTTCTCCTCAGTATCTTATCTATCAGCATGAGCAATGTTGACAAGTGTCAAATGGGCAAGTCAAGAAGCTCTACACGAAGGGTTCCTCCCATCCATCTCTGGAGGCTCTGGGACATCTAGTCCCTTGTCCCACTCCATCCCAGGAAAAATTTCATGTAACTCTCTGTAGATAGACTGAAAGGAGCCTTACCTTTTCTGTCCCTTAGAATCTCTGGTCCTAGAGAGTCTTGGTCCTGCAGTTGCCCGAAGCCCACCTCGTCGAAACTCTGCCATCCCTGGTGCATCAGTGTTGAAATTTCCTGACTGAGTTCTTCGGATTCTGCATGGAGAGGAATCCATGGAGACTGTCAGGGATGACCTGAGAGTCTAGAGGCAGTGTAACCCCTCCTTTGCAGGTAGGGCCATGCAGTCCAGACTCAGGGCAATGCTGTCTCCTTATGCCTCCCAAGAGATCAAGGATCATGACTTATGATAGTTCCTTTATTGGGCTTGCATCTCAATTCTAAGCCTGGGGTGGGCCACTCCCCTTGGGGGACAAATTAAAGGTTGCTGCCTGGGAGGAGGCTCCAGTGTCTGCCTATTTCATAGACTATGTCACTTGGGCCAGCAAGAACTCAGCTTTCTGTCTTCAAAGATTTTTGCAGTCCCATCTGTTCCTCTCCCAAAACCCATATGGGATAAGCTGAAGTGAATATCATTGGGGGTGTGTGGGATGGATGTCTAGAATGAATGACACGTATAAGGATACTGGCTATATTTAACGGATAACTTTCATATATATCTTCCCTTCTCTGGGTCCTGAAAAAATAACTCAAATTCACCCTGAACATGACTGCTCCATTTTAACTGCTGTCCCAGTGTCTAATAGACCAAGTACTTACATAGATTTTTTTTATCGAGTCAAGAAGAAAATTAATTTCAAGCAATATGATTATAACCCATTACTACCAACTTACTTTCCCCAGAATTTCTTGATTCCTTTGGGGCTCCGTTTACCATCTGGTGTCAGGGGGGACTGGGGGCTTGACTCAGCACCCGGTGAGTTGGAAGAGAGTTCGTTGGCCATGGCAGCATTATCCCAACTGCTTTCTGTGTCTCCTGTGGTTGAAAAGATTGAATGATATGTCAATCAGATAGAGGAATGAACTTTAGACCCCTATTCCCTAATCCCAGGCATCCGATTTGGAGTCCAGAAGACCACCCAGCTCTTTAGAGCTTGACACCAGCATCCCAGAGGCCAGTAGAGGCTCAGGCACACTCCAGGCTTTCCAGATAAGGCATCAGTGAGCTCAGTGTTTCAAATCTGAGTGAGCTAATGTCATCAAATTCAAAAGGTTTGGGTCTAAGTTTTTGTGGATTATTCAACAAGGATTGTGTTCTCTTTTCAGAGGGATATGCAGGCATGCAGGCAGGAGGGGACAATGGCCAAGCATTTGGGGTAGTGGTAAAAGGATTGGTAAATGGGAAGCAAAAGCATTCTCACTCTCCACCTCACCTGGTACGGGTACAGTACCTAATACAGGGGCACTGACACTCCGGCCACGATCTCCAGCCAACCAAGAAGCAGAGAAGCCACATGAAGAAACAAGAGAGGCCAAAATCCAACCCAAAAGAGTTACAGGGAAGCAAAGAAATAAAAAAGAATGTCATCAAGCAAGAGAGAAAAACTCAAGAGAAAAATAATCCCATGAAAAAAGATGAGGTAAGTGTTGACTCAGCCTAGCCTACAGGGTCATTAACTGAAAGAAGGCCTGAAAAGAGGGGCCAAATGCTAGGTGCCACTTCCTGGCAGGCTGAGGTATTTGTCTACATGTGGGGAAAGGGAGGGAGAACAGCAGGGACTAAACAACCTGGGTCACATGAAGCTCTTGCACAGGTGTCAAAGGTCATTCAGTCAGACTAGAATGATCTGAAGCTGCTGTGAGTCCAGTCTGTCACTGGATACACTCATTTAAAGGCTTATCTAGAGCTTCTGTAGCCACAGCAGAACTGGCCTTCATGAGCCAACACACAGGCCGACTCAGGCAACAGTTGAGCAGAGGAGTCAGAGGAAGGGAAACTCTGTTGGACTAGAATATTCCTTCCTTGGCCCCATGAGATCTGCTGGTGCTACTGGGGAGAAATCACCTATTTTGGATGAAAAGTAGCAAAGACCTCATGGTTTCAGGACTTAACCTCCAAAGGGATACCTATGAGCTGACATCTTTGCCCACTGACCACTGACTTCATTTGCCTAAAAAGTGCATACTATAATCCTGCTGGGAGACTCCAGACAAGGCAAAGAAAGGAGAGAAAGTCCAGGAGGCCAGAGGAAGGAAGGGTGAGGGGCAGGAAGGGTGACAGGATATCTAAGAAGATGGGAAAAGAGGAATCATGGGAAGGAAAGGCAGGAATTCAAAAGAGGAGGAACAGAAGAATAGAGGAAAATGGGATGGACTAATTACAGCTGGGAAGAATAGAGTATGTATACAGGTTGGGTTTTCTTGGATGCTGGTATTTACCTCCCTTGCCAAGGCAGGGAGCTGTAAAAATGGGATTACTATGAGGTACAAACTGTACCAGCACCCACTCCCAACATTCTCAATTAAGGGCTGCAATGGCAGGCACAGGTATCTTGTACAATAATTGGAAGTGCCAAAAACATTGCTCCAGCATCTACTAGCTGAAGGGTTGGACACTCACTCAGTCTTAGCAGGTTGCTTCCTACAGGGTCAGGCTGGGAGGTGGCAGAAGTAGATTTGGCAGCTTCTCCATTGGGTGTGGCTCCCGAAAGCTTCCCGGGTAATGTAGGATATTTCTGTTCCACCAGGAAAGAGCTGTCCTATTGGAAGGAAAGAGAAAAGGAGAGATACTTAGTTAATCCTGAGACTCAACTCAAACCCAGTTAGGAAACCCTTGGACATCCAAATAACTCTATTCTCCAAGAGGTCACAACAACAACAACAAAAACCTCAAAGATCATTTAGCCCAAGCCAGGAAAGAGGACTAGAGTTCTGAGAAAGGGAAAAATCTTCCCACACAGTGAGACAGGACTAGAGTCAAGCCCAATCTAGGGATGACTACAATCACCTGTAAGCAAGAATTGGACATGTCTTATGAAGGAGGCCTTTGCCACTTAGCCTAGTGTTCATAAGCTTAATGAATCAATAGCCATGAATTAGTCTATGAACTCTTCAAATACAGAAGCCAAAATTCTCTACCTACTAGTTTATCTCATATATAGATATGAGGTATATATCATATATTTATCTCATACACACACACATATATATATGTATGTTATGTATATGTATGTATATGGTACACATACGAATCTCTATTATATATTAATGATTATATAATATATAATTAGTTATAATGACATGTTATATATTATATATTATACTTTATACACACACACACACACACATATATATATATATATATATATATATATATATATATATAAATCTGGTCTGGGTTTCCCTGTTCTCCTGAGACCTGCTTTCCTGCAGGCAATAAGGATGTGCTTCTCCAGAGTAGGACCCTTATTCAGAAACAGGTCAGGGCAAATCTCTTCAGGGGTTTAACCAAGTGCATAAATTATGTAGATTCTGGCTTAAAGGCTATGCTATAGAAAGAAGATTAGAATTTAAATTTGAAGCAGTAGAAGAAAAAGTCTGTTTTTTGATAACGGTTCTTTATGAAAGCCTGTTAAGGCAAAACAAAAAGGTGTGCACACACTTTGGGAGATGACAACAGGAAATGGGGAAGAGGACTATATGCCAACACAGAGTTCCCTTTGGAATTTAGGATTATTGTCTAAGGTACATTGTCTGAGGCATAGTTTTGATGCAATGGACCCTGTGGTTGAACACTGACCATATAAAAAGTCCCAAAGAAGCAAGTTGAATAAAAGAGGAAGAAGAATAGCACTTATTTGGCCAAGGAGCATATATCGCCCCTAAATCTACAAACTTGGAGAAAACAGTAGATTGCATTTCAAGAGCAAGAATAAAAGAGAAGCGAAATTGCAGCAACATTGTTGAGGGACCCAAATGTAGATCACTTGATTGGATCCAGAAAAAAAAGTCATATGAAAGACAAAATAGATTTTGAAACTGGCAAGTCAGGCCAATAATGGGAGACTAGCATGACTGAGACATCTTTGAAATTTCATTCAGCTATAAGTCAAGTGTTCAATATATTTCTGAGTTCAGTTTGCTTATAAATGCATGTCCTAGAAATTGTATGATTCTGTTCTCCCGTCTCCAAGAAGAATAATCCTGGCTACGGGGAAATGAAAACCCCTGAGAAAGAGCAGCATGGAATCTATTACTGAACTGCTTTGAATTACGGAAAAGCAGCCTGCCAGAGAGGGGTGAGAGCCCATGGCCTGAGTCAGACTGACTCAGGAAAAGTTCTTTCTCTTTAACCTTTCAAAACCTCTGTTCTGTCATTTCTAAATAGGGAATAACAAACAATTCCTGCCTCTGATCTGCTGTGAAATGATACACATACAGTGGACAACAGATAAACAGAAGTATGCATGCTAAGTCCTAGAGAGACAGCAGTCCAGAAGAGCAGACCCTAGATCAAGGAAGGCACAGGTCAAATGACATCTAGAATATCAAGCCCAAGTCTGACCCAAGACAAATTTAAAGAATACATTGAGAAACTAGTGCTTTAAAGGCTGGTGATCCATGTACATGGTAAGAGGATGTTCAGTCCTGAGAACAGAACATAAGAGGACTTAATTTTAGAACATCAGGAGTAGAGAGTACTGACTCATACCATAGGAGAGCCAGATCAGGGGATGTGCATTCTGGTGAAGCTCAGCAGACATGTCTCACAGTGAGAGCTTGAAAAGAATATAAGAAGTAAGAAGTATCTTATGATTTAGTGACCTCTCAGTGACAGAAAGAAAGGGCCTGGCACAAAGGGTAGGGGATACTGCAAAAAGATCATTGCACCTGTGGAACAGTCCTGGGGAGGATATGGGGTAGGGTGTGTGTGTGTGTGTGTGTGTGTGTGTGTGTGTGTGTGTGTGTGTGTGTGTGTAAAGAGGTGTTCATGTTGAACTAGTTGAGACCACACAAGATTATAGTTATGGTTAAAATCATAGAAGAATCAATCTTTTAATCTGGAATATGTTCTCTTCATAAACAATCCCCCCATCACATATATTTCTTAGTTATTAAGTCAGTGTCTTAAAGCTTGAGCTGGTGAACCAGCTCTGTTTCCAAAAAGTGGGTGATTACTTACACATGTATTTTAGACACATGAATGACCTCTGTGAGGCTAAAGAGGGAAGGGAAACTGCTGGGTGAAAAATACCATAGAACAGTCTCTACTGGAAGGCTTTTAATTTGCCTAGGGACTATACAAGCCTGGGCTCCAGGCTGAGACAAGAAAGCAGGCAGAAGACTCCTGCTCTATAGTTCAGATGGCTCAAGGAATGGCTACCCAATTGTAGCACTGACTGCTATAAATATAAAAGTGCAGAGAAGCCTATAGAAGTATAAAAAAGATCTTTCTCTTACACTGAGTTAAGAGGACAGAGATGGCCCATTCTATCACACTGGTATGAAAAAATAAAATGACCCTCTCAGGTCAAAGTCCATGGGCAACAAGGCCCCATGTCTCATATGAAAGGCAAATGAGGGTCAAGTACAATACATTCTCCCATATGATGTTAAAAATAATGGATGAAATAATGCCATTTATAAAAAACTTCAGTTCATTAAGGGCTCAATATTTGTGCACCAACCTGGAAACATAATCATCTTTCAAAACAGGTTTTTCTAGGAGGAAATAAATTCTAATGAAATTTTTAAATGTGATGTGTTCATTAAAGGGAAGCTAAGAGTACTTGTTTGTTTTTTGTTTTGTTTTGTTTTGCTGCACTGGAAAACAAACCCAGGGCCTCGACATGCTAGCCAAATGCTCCACCACTGAGCTGCATCCCCAGCCCTATTCTTGTGTTTTTCATCAGCACATAAAGGATGAGAGCTGCCACGCTCTTCTGTGTACTGAGATCACAGCATTCCCTGCCCAGTGATTAAGGCTAGATTGTTGTTAAAGATTAGTTTCTATAAAATGGTTAGTTTTCTCTCTTTCTACAAAGATTAGTTTCTATAAAATAGAGCCTATAAAATGGAGTGTTGATAATAACTCCTATCCACAGATAATATTGGTGAAAGCTCATTATACACCTGGGTGTACATAAAAGTAAAATGGGAGGAGGAAGTTCTGTCTTTCTTCTTGTCCTCTTACCCTGATGGTTAACATATCTTAAGACTACAAAAACCATAATTTGTTATAACACTCTGGCAAATAGAGCAAACACAAAAAAAGTGATAATAATATGAATTTAATGTACCTTGGGTTCTACTGCCAAAGAAAGCTGCTTCCCATTGACACACTATGGAGTAACAGAAAGAATTTCAATTATATGGAGAAAAGAGATCTTAATAAGTCTAAAAGCATAAATAAGTCAGGACTATCCACTTGCTTGTATCTGAAAGGCTCATGCCCATCCCTGATCTTCGTGTCAGGAGATCACCATAACATGCCAGCAAATGCAGATCACTGTCTAACCTTGTCGACAGACACCCGGGCCACTGCCAGCAATCTGATCAGGGAAGTGAGAGGCATATGCCCATGGGAGCAAAGCCACTAGACAAGACCATGGCTCCTGCCAAATTCAGCTTTTATGGATCTCCATTGTGTCACCTGGGAGGCTGATACTGCTGGAACCAGGGGATAGCATGCAGCATGGGATCACTAGAGGCTCAATCAGAGCAGGTTCCTTGTTCTGTGATGACTAAGCAAAAGAGCCTGTGATCCTCTAGCATAGGTGCCACCCACATGGTCAAAGGCTACTAAGGGGGTCACAAAGCCCTCATTTTCCTAGATTTTTTTAAGTTGCTTCTTGAATCTTGTAAACAATCCCAGACCTTACTCTGGGAATCATTTCCTTTATCCATATTATTTAATTCAAAATTGCTGCAATCATCCCAAGTGCCTTGGGAGATAAGGCCAATATTCAAGATCTTCTCTGGCTTGATCTAATACTTGGCTCTGACCTTACTTCCTCCTATTTCCCATCATTCCCCAAATCCTGCCTGTGCCCATCAGACCCGGACTCAGCCTTTGCTCACTGACACCTTTTCTCTTACCCACTCTAGCCCACATTTCCCCGAGTTGTTTTGTCTCTAGGATGCCTTGGGCTATATCTGACAGATTTTCTCAAATATTCTTGTAATTCTGCCTTACCAGCAAGAGCTTCTCCAAGGTAGGGACCAGGACTCGCCCACATATCCCAGCTCTGTAATAGGCCTAAAGAAGTAACTCAGTAATCTTTATGGATAGATTGATGAGCTGACCTTATCCACAGATTCACTTCTTAAATCTTCTAGACTACAGGAGAGTTTTTTCTGAACCCTGGAAAAACATAAAGTGACAAAAATAGTTATAAGAGAAAGTGAAGGTTGGTATCATTAATACAGAAGGCAATCTAAATGCTTAGATTAGAGTAGTCTCTCTTGGGCTTAGGGTAAATGGCAGAAGGAAGAACCACCTTCTCACAACAGCCAACATATTAGATGAGGCTGTCCCACCTTGGGAGATAGCCTGGTTCAACAACATGTTGGTGAGGGCATGACAGCATCACTTAAGTCCCAATAAAAAGTCCTTCATGTTGCTCAGTTAGAATACACTTAACTCTATTGCATCCATGAGAGGTTAACTACTGTGTTATCTGTGTAGCTACCCTGCATTCATAAAGAAGACTAATGTCTGCAGAGTCGAAGTACAAGAAGAATACTGATACTGACTTGTTTGTGAGTCTAAGAGTAATCCAGGTAGGAAGAAGTTGGTTCCTCCTTAGAGTAGAGACAAACACATCAGCCAGCCATTGCTTCAAAGCACTTCCTGCTAAGATCCTCCAACACTCTTCTCTGGCCCCCTATGTCCTGAGAAGTCTGCTCAGAGGAATATTGTTTTCATAGAGGCTATTTTGCAGAGAAGGGTACCAAATAATTAAAAAAGAGGCAATGCCACCAGTGATCACAAGGGTAACCATGTGCCAAGTCTTCTTGGCAGTTATATTCCTCAGTTAATAGATATAAGACAAATTTTCTTTATACATTAGTCTCTTGTAAGTCCAGTCAGTGTGAATCCCTTATTGTTATTTCCCCCTGAGTGAACTCATAAACTAAATTTCTTATTTTATAAAACTTAGGACCGGTCAATCACTCTCTGATATTGTTGGTTTGCTCTGGGGCTGGCTGATGCTTCAGATTCTCTATAAGTTGGACTCTGAGAGTAAAGACTGGAATCTGGAGGCTCAGCACCTTTCTAGGGAAGCCTCTTATGATTATGTTCTTCCCCAGACACGTTGTCTGAAAGAGCCTTTTCATGGTGGTGAAACCTCCATATCTCCCTCACTGAGTAAGCTCAGAAACATGTTCTAAAGAACTGAAACAGGGATCTAGAAGTGGGTTAATTTTGGAGGGAACCAGTCAGGTGGTGGTCAATGACTCTATAGCGTAGTTTATAAGCATTTTTTCACCAAAGCAATTGGACCAACTTCCCTGTGGGGAGAAATGTTCCTCCCTATAGTGCCTGGGTGGTCAAAGAACTAGATCACTCCAAGAATGCTAAAGACATGTCAAAAGGGATGATGGAAATGACAGACACACATCATGGGGCACACTCAGCTCCAAGGAGCCACTGAAGGGCATGGGTGAGTTGTAGTAGTCACTTCTCCACTGAGACCCCAACTCCTGGCCAGCTCTTTTCTCAGTGGCAGTGATCTAGACTCTCAGCCATAGGAAGGGAAGCCCTTCTGTGACCAGAAGAGGCAGGCCTGGTTGGTGCCCCCTGTCAACTGAAGGATGCATGTGCTCAGAATGGTGGTTGTGCTCACCCTCATGGCCAGTTACCCTCCACTTGAGGATTGCAAGATGGGCTGAGAGCAGAGCTCCAGAGAGAGGGTCAAGCTCCTACCTGCTTTCCAGTGATTTCTGTGGCAAAGGAGGTGGCCCCACTGTGGGAGAGCTGCATCTTGGAGGCATCTGTATCAAAATAGGGTTACCACAGAACAGAGTTACTATTTGAGAACCATCCTTTCTTCTTATTTGATATCTTTGGGGAGTGACATTTCCACCACTGGGTATAGCCACGGTGAAAACATCAAGATGGATGCCTTGCTCCTTCAAAATACCATGAAGGCAGATATGTCAATCCATCCTGGTTGATACCTTTCCACTCTAAACCCCAGCTCTTAGATAAAATTCACATCCTTGCAGTAGAGTCCAGAGACCTGAGTCTCTGGGCTTTTGCTACTCCAGTCCTTTCTGAGATTGACTCTTCAGCTCTTCTTTTCATTTAGTAAGTCATTACACATGCTTTCAAAAACATTCCCTTTCAGCTTAGGTTAGCCAGAGTCAAATTCTGTTACCCCCATGAGAGAACCCTAATGATATAGTTACTTCACAAACACTGGCCCAATGCTAGGTATGAGGTAAGCACATTACACATCTGACAGGCAAATAAGTAAGCAAGGATAAAAACAATGCCACCCAATCTAGGGCACTGAGGCTGACAACATAAAAAAGGAAACAAAGGACAGGGAGAAGCTCCCTCTAGCTGGTGGGAATGTTGAGAGAGCTTCAGAAGGGAGAACACTTGAGGCAAATCTTGAGATGGGAGAAAGAGTTCATAAAGAAGGGAAGAAAGAAAAGAGGACCTCAGGGGGAGCAATGTAAACTAATGAGGGTATAAGAACACAGTCCTATGTCTTCAGTATGGTGCTAAGCACAAAGACCACCTCTTCCCTATAGGAAGAACCCTTTTATTATAGCATGGTTGTTAAGAGCTTGAGTTTTGTGGTCAGACAGACCTGAGCTCAAGTCAAGATTCTGCCATCTACTTGCAGTATGCCCTGAAGTGTATTATTTACCTCTCTAATCCACAATTTTATCACAATAAAATAAGAATACTAATGGGGTGTCATGAGGAGTAAATTAAGTAAGAACTATACAGTGACCACACAGAGGTAATAGACAAGGCTTATTATTGCTATTTTCTAATTGCCAGCAATGTGGGGGTACTTCCTTGGCTCAATTACAGGGTTATTGGATCACAATTTGATCTTTCCTTAATTAAAAGATTGATCTGGACTGCTAAATTCTTTTTCAGTTTGACCATTCTGGAATTTCATGAAACATTTTGCCCTTAAGCTGAAAGCCCTTCTTCTCCTGAGGTGGGTATGCATGAGTTTATTTGTTCATTTGTATTTAGAATAAATTCTGGGGGATTCATACAACAAAAACAATTTCAAACCAAAGAGAAGAAAAATCTGTATGTTCATTATAGGCACTGAAAGGGCTGTCTGTGAAGCAGGAATGTATCACTTCAGAAGTTGAAGTTATCTCTCTAAATGAGCAAGGTAAACTATTCATTTGTTGAATTTTACTGGGTATCACACATTTTCGCAGATCCTGAAGAAACAGTAGTAAATAAGACACCACATTGGTCTATGCTTACTTCTACAGAGGAAAGACAAGGCATCCAATTAAAAAGAAAAATTCCCATCCTTGAAATTCCAGCACCCACTATGCTGTCCCCAGCGAGAATACAGGCCTGAGCCGTCGACCTTTCTTTCCTCCACTCTCTCTCTAAGGCCTAAGACCTGTTCCATTGATTTAGTTAGTTACCAGACATTGAAAAGGTATCTGACTAGATCCTCCTTCAAGCTAAGGGCAAGCTCCAAGGGCTGCTAAAACCCCATATCATGAATGGAAACATGGTACCTCTTGTTTAAATTCTTCAGTGCCTTTATTTACAGTGTTCCATTTTCTAAAACTTCCCTCCAGTTCTTCTTCATTGATGGAGAGAGTTCTCTCTGAAGGCCCTGGAAGCATGAAGGCTAGAAGTATTATGGTGGACCACTGGTATATGAACTGTTCAGAAGCTTATAATTGTACCACAAAACCCTAATATCATTTTGCCTTTGTTAAGAAAGAATAATAAGACAAAAGGGACATTAAGAGTGTTATTTGGAAGATTCTTCATAGCATCTGAGCAAAGGCTATCATGAGGGTCATTTTAAGATCAAAGTTCACTCCTAGAACAGAGGTAAAACACCCTTCTCCAGCTTTCTTATTTTTTTTTCTTTTTTGCCTGGGGACAATCAGGTCCTGACAGAGGCTTGGACTAAGATCCCAAAGGATTAGAGAAAAGAAATCTGTAACATTTGTGGGGGGACTGGAAGATGTCCTCAGCAGTGACTTATTAGCCACAATCCTGGCAGAAGCATGGCTTCTTCTCAAGAAGAGACAGAAGCAGAGATTCCTGAATTCCTTTCTTGTGAAACTGCTGCTTTTTCAGGATCTGTGATGGGGGCTGAGGTCAATGGCATGAGTGACAGACAAGGCAGGCAGCCTAGCATATGCTACACTGTGCCTATAAGAACACAAATGTGTTCGTACATCACAGCAGTATTGGTGGCAAATATGAAACAACAGCTCTCCCTGTCCAGTAATTTCTTGTGAAAACCAGGCACCTGGTGATGCATGGAAGACTCCCAGGTGTCCTTGGAGGAGCTCTAGGTTCTCTAAGAGGAAGACAAGCTCTACTCTCCAATGGGAACACTTATTTCTGATCCAGGTTTGTTTCCATTCTAAAGGGTACACTGACACGTGTAGAACATCCTCTAAGGGTGGAAATTCCCAGGTAAAAAAGTTGAAGATTTTATTTTCTTGATGATTTTCACAGTCCCTGGAAGTTATGAGCTGACTATCATTTGATAACATTTTTGGAATCAACAGATTCCACTTTTCCACTATCAAAGAGAGTCCAAAAAGCTTCATTCTCCAGTAGATTTTCTCCAATTGGAGGTAAAGAATCATCTGGCAGAATTACCCCTGGATTTGACATAGCAGATAAAATACTGTTCAGGGAAAATGGAAGACTTGCTCTTGTTCTTACCTTGAGTTGCCATCACAATCTCCTTCACCCTTCGGTACTGGTTCAAGAGCCCTGTGAGCTCCTCTATCCGACGGTCCTGCCATCATGCAAGGGATTTAGATTAGCACCAATACTGGATTTCATTTTGGGACCCAGCAATATTCTGGGCACATCAAGAAGAAAACCCACATGGAACTTCTGGAGCATCCCAAAGGGAAAGAGTCAAGGTCCATCCCATGGAGCAGGGTCCCAGAGGTCTGATACTCATGACTCTACCTGAAGGTTGTGAGCCAACAATCACTGACATATCCTTCAAGGGTCTTAAACATTTCAGAAGCATGAAACTCTCTGCCCCCTACCTCCCTGAAGTAGCCACCAATAAAGTCTGCCTCCTGCTCCAGTGTTACCCTCTGAAGTTGCACAGAAAAAAAGACTAAAAAAAAAAAAAGCTGTCATATTTAACCTGATATACTCACCTCTTCCTTAGGTGTCAGAGATACTCACATACAGAAGAAATTTCCAGAGGGTATAGGTTCTTTCAAGCAAGGGTCTACCAACTTGGGAGACCACAAAGATCTTGGAGTCAGACACCATTGGGTATGAACCCTGGCTCTGCTCTCCACTAGTTACCTGACCCTGGGGAAAGGATCCTTAGAGATGATGTTTACATTAGCTAGGTGCTTTTTATTTATAGGTGTGTTTATTTATGATTATGCAAGAATGAGGTGTGAAGAATATAAGGTGGCAGGGTAAACCAAGGCATTGCATGCTGCCCAGTGTCTTTATGATACTTGTATAAAAAAAGATTGTATACACGAATATTGGTGGACCATTTCTGAGTTTTGCTAGGAATCAAAGAAGGAGCTATTACATTGGCATTAACCATAGTAGTATTTTTCCCCCACACTAGCATAAATAGGCAGGGCTTTAATTTGCCTTTGAAAGATTCCATTTAGGCAAAGTTCCCAGGCATCCAAAACAGGTGCTGAAACTGAGTCTCTAGGAGGTAGAAGCTATCTTCCTGGCATCTGCCTGTTGATGGCCCAATGGACACAGCTCTGTCTAGTACCAGAGAGCAACAGGAACAAACAGAGCTAGAGGTGTTATCAGGGAAAGAACAATGGCTATCTTACCTTATCTTCATTGGCAACAAGCAGTGTTTCCATCCCCATCTTCAGACGTTGAATTTCTTGATCTAAAAGAATTTAGGCAAAGAAAGGATTATTTGTATAAATACAAACAGTATCAACATATGTTAAGATGCCACTCAAGTTCAAACTTGTTATGTGAACTTGGATTGTTTCTTTAAAGAGCCTGGGATGGTATCTGGTACAGAGTTAGTCTCATAAAATATTTGTTTGACTATTAAGTGAATGAACCTGGTATTTTGTCTTCTCTTTGTAGACATTCACGGGAAAAATAAAAATGCCATTTATGCAAAAGTGACACAGAAGAACCAAAAATCTTTTACAATCAACCTCTCCCAAGAAGGCAGATATTCTTATTCTCATAGGCATATGTCTAGGCTGCTGGCTTATTTTTCTTTTTCTTATTTTAAGAAACAGACTATAAGTAGAGGAGAATTTAAAATAAGAAAAATAAAAATCTACATCTAAATGGATACTGAGAAAAATGATTATGTAAGAGTTTGGGGTAGTCAACTTAATTTCAAATAGTATAATCAGAATTTTAAAATGTTCAGATACATAAATAAATATATTAAATAAGCTCTACCATTAAGGGAAAATAATATTGTTTCATTATAAACCTACAGAATTTCCCTGTGGGCTGAGGGCTCTGTTTTAGTTTGTGATAGAAAAACCATATTTTTTTCTCACTTTAGACCCATGAGGGACTCACTTGAATTCTTCCCAAACTTGTCTGAAGAACCAGGTCAAAGGCTAATGTCTAAAGAAGCTGGAGGTCATTTGCCAGATACTTAGAAGTCTAGGGATTGATGTATAACTGGATTTTTCTGAACAAGAACCTATACCTCTTCCTAAAGTGGATACTGCAAAGGGATTAGGGATGTATAAGACAAGATAAGGGAACAGAAGTATAGGCATCCATCCTATTTCCTTTGGGATGCTTGTTATATTCAATGAGAGTAGCAACAGTAGATGTATGGACTTTGTGTGAATAGTTGTGGAGCTCATTTTCAGGGTGAAGTAGAATGTGTTTGCTCATTATCTTAGGCTGGCAGCTGACATCAACTCTGTAGCTTAATTTGTCAGGAGGTGGGGATAGGAGGTAAATTACAGATAAAGATTGTTAAACTTGTATTTGTAGCCATAACCCAACCTGAGCAGCAAACAACTAAAGGACCATCTCTAGGAGGTACCTGATAATTGACTGGGGCAGGTCTTGGAAAGCCTGGACTGCAGGGAAGCATGGGGTAGAGAAGGAAGGCTGCCTGCCTGTCCTAGAAGTCATGGCCAGGAACTCTCTGCCAAGGTTTGGCATAGTTCACGACTTCCCAGTCTCCACAGGTAGGCCTTGGCAGGTACATAACACCCAAATGGAGGATACCAATGAAAAGCTAGAGCAGGAATGAACATATTGGTCACTAATTTCTTTTTTAAGTCTAAGCCACTGATGGATGGTTGCATGGCTTCCACATCAGTTGGAGATTCAAGTTAAGCAGTTCTGAGGCCAAGATGAGACTCTACAATGGCACCAATACATAGGACAATATGATCTCCAATAGCATTGCTCTACAGCCTGGTGGCAAATGGAGAAGCTGGAAGGTGTGTAATCATTCTGTATACATTGCAAATAACCATAAAGATAAAATGCATTAATTGGAGTATTTGAAGATTTATCCTCTATTTTTAATCAGTAAGATTTAAACTCCTCAGGGACCATTCACCATCCTTATTCAATTACTTTACTTTGGAGGTTACCATGAGCTGAATACAGTGCTGGGCTCTGTAGATATATTCCTAAACAAGAAAGATATCATCCTTGTCATGTCAGAGTGAAGATCATCACAAGATCTCCTCAAATATAACACTGATAAGTTATAATAAGTACTGTGAAGTAAACATGAAGAATTCTCAGAGAATAAAAGGAGTAGGGGCATCATCTTGTAGTTGGGCAGACAGGAAAGGTCTTTCTGAGAAATGACATTTAAGTTGAGATATAAAGGATGAGAATAAATTGATTTGCTTCTGTAACCTTAGGGCCTTGTACAGCTGTCAGGTGGGATGAATTTATAAGCCTCCTCTTTGGGGATAACACAGAAACAAGGCCTTTTAATCAAAGGAAGAGTCAGGTATTTGCTACATTCTCAGTAAAAGCTTCAGAGGGCTGCACAGAGCTTCAATGAATGCTGTGAACCTGAGAAAAACATTCAGAGCTGAGTGTTCTGGATACAGGAAGAGTCCATGACATGATTCTACAACAGAGTTGTGCTTTACAGGCTCCCACACATGCACACATATATGTAGCCACTCACTTGGGCATGCTCAGACACATACATGCATGAAAGTGCACAATGGCATAACTACATACACAAGCATATGCATACTCATTCATAGATACACATGCCCATTTATAAGAGTGGGCCCAGAACAAATGCATTCTGTCATAGTCAATCGGGTCACCTCTCTCTGCATGGTCACTGTGAAGAGCTGTGGTCCGGGAGAGCTGGCTATGCAGACGCTCAATTTCTGCATCTTTCAGAGCCACTTGCTCTTGTAGCTGGGCCACCTCGGCCTGGAAAAACAATAGAGAATTCCCAGCAAGTCAGAACAACTTCCAAACTATGATGAAGTGTCTCATGTTTGATCCCAGAGCCCAGTGGGCCCTAGGACATGAGTGAGGGAAAGAGGCAATAGAAGTAGGAGGGCTCTCTGCCCTCCCCACAGTGTGGAACTCTGCCAAAGAAACTCACTCTTTCTGGTCATCAACCTGTTTTTTTCCTGCATCCTCCTAGTTGACCAGGCTCTTTTTCTCCTCTGCTCACTGAGGCCAAGGTACCCCTGAGACCACAGGAGCTGTAATTGTGTAAATGTGAGGGTGCAGTCCTTGATTCAGACTTGTACATTGTCATTTTAGATGTGATCTTCCTTATCCCAAGATACTCAAGCCACAGCACTTAGATATGCTGCTGTAACGAGTGCATGCAGCTTCATCTCCCTACTCCCGGTACAGGAAATACAGTAGAAATCAAAATACCACTGGTGGGTAAAGCGTGATCCAAAGGCTCCCTCCCTGGATGTTCTCACACTTTTGGGCACAGTTAATGCCTCTGCCCAGCCTGTAGGCACATCTGCATGCTTGCCAAAATATACATACATACAAGCATTTGGGTGTGTTTGGCATAAATGTTTGCAAAAAACAAAAGCAATATGTGCATTCATATATGTACACACATGGGCAGCTGCATTGGATGGTTCCCAAGTACTAAGTTTAGTAGGTTAAATTTCACATACTAGATGTGTTTGTCCTTACTTTCCCATACTCATTAAAAGAATAAAATTGTTTGTCCCATCACAAGAGGCACCTTCACTTTGGAGTCGAACAAATTTGGATTCTTGCATGTCCTAGTTGGATGACATATGACAAGTAATTCAATCTTTCTGAGCCTCAGTTCATCTATAAAATGGGGGAAATAGCACATACCTCTTGGGACTCTAGTGAGGATTAACTAATATAATGGTTATGAGCAACTCAGTCTAATACTTAGTGCATGTTAAGTTTTCAAAAAATGCTACCAATGTTGTTCCTCTTATCCTATTCTTTCCCTTATGGATAATCAGCTCATTTCTGTGAGCATCAAAACAAATTTAAAAAGGGATCAGAACTGACTCCTGAACAATGGAACACACAGAAAAGACTGACCCATGAGACTTAGACTTCCCACGAGCACCCTAATCATGTCCCAACTCTGATCCTAAAGGCATAATACTGACTGTCCTTTCCCACAGTCACAAGTTAATCTTTGAACTTCCCAAAGTAACCACATGAGCACCAATCTTTTTGGTGGCTCCTCTGCCCAAAGGCCTTGTGTCCAGTTTCAGCATGCACCTTGCATCAGCCCCTGCTACTTTCTTACATCAATATACCCACAATATTCACCCTCCCGTTTCCTGGGGAGAAACACAGGACAGTACAGGATTCAGTGTAGAAAACAAAGAGTGACTCAGTGAACAGGCCAGGATGCAACCCTCAGATACCTGCTTTTTAGTTAATAGAGTAGATGACGGTCACTCTTCTGAGGCTTGGGGTCTGTGAGCCCACCTTGAGGGTTTCTGAATAAACCTTCCTTCACATCCCCCAAATGGAACAGTATGACCACGTAGAGGACGAAGAGACCATGATGGGTATGGTTTTCTTTTTGCAAAATTCACTATGGAGCTTTGTCCCCTGTTCTGATCTTTTTCCACAAAGGCAGAGAGCCAAGTATGGCTATGTCAAGCTGATTGCTGATTTGCACAGCCATGAAGCAGGTTTTCTTGGCTCACTCAGGGCCTAGTGCCCATGGGGTTATAGATAATGGTGACAGTGGCTTCTGCTTGCCCTTGAGACTCTCAACCCAAATGCCTCTCATTTCTATAAGGGCCAGCCTATTCTTGGAAGATAATCTCTTACCCTTTCTTGGACATATCCTTTCCCATTTCTCCCTTCCTTTGTGAACAGAGTAGGTGTTGATCTCTATTAGGAATCTGAATCCCTTATGCTTATCTGCTAGGCCCACAGTTTGACTTTAGTGGTGCAGGTCTATTGAGACAGATCCCAGATCCTGGCACTCTGAGATCTCTCTCCTGAGGCCTGCCTCTGGATGAGTACACTTATATATATACTGTGAACCCTACAGACAAATGACATAGCCAAACCTCCCTTGTGCCAGACCACAGAACGGGGCAGAAATCACAGGCACTCTGTTACCCTTAGAATGGTACCTGTCCCCACAGGACCCCAGCCAACAATAGCCCAGAAGCTCTCTCCCTGACCATTAGGGCAAAGTATGCGGCCTCACTACAGAAGTAAGAACTGTGTAGCAAGAGGCCTGAGATAGCCAGGCAGACTAGCAGGCAGGCAGAGATGGGTGCTCTGGGTACCTGCAAGTGCCAGGCCTCACTAAACCCAGGGGTCATATTCTACTTTAAAGGCAGTCCCTAAGAAAACTAAAGTGATCTACCTTTAGAAACTGAGAAAGTTTAAGCAGAAAACTGAAGAACTTCCAAAACCAGTGCAGGATTTCACTGTGGGGATTCAGGTTGATGCAGGAAAAGACAGCAGTAATCTCGCCTTGGCCAAACTAAGCTACTCTTTCCTTACCAGCCAAATCAGAATAACAAAATATACCCCATTGGGTTATTTTTTGAATTAATGAAAAAAAGTCTGAAAAGGGATCAGTACACTCCAGCACACAGTTGGAACTCCATACCTGGCAATTATTAAATAGCCTAGAGCATCTCACAGGTCTATGAGCCAAGGCAAAGAGCTTGGGTAATTTAAGAAGAAAAGAGCCACTTGGTTTACAACAAGGTGGTATGCACAACTTCAAAGGTTTCACCAAGACAGGACTTGCTTGAGTGAAGCACTGTGATAGAAGGTTTTGGACTACTGGACAAACACAATGCTCTTAGAATTGGTGATTGTGAAACATAGTACATCCAAGGCCATCATCAGACATCAACAGACAGGTGGGCAGATGGACCTCATCATCCAGGTTGGTCCTGACTAGCTATAAAATCTTGAAAGAGTCAGGCACAGTGGCATATGCCTGTAATCCCACAGCTTAGGAGGCTGAAGCAGGAGGATCATGAGTTCAAAGCCAGCCTCAGCAAAAGCAATCTGTCAACTCAGTGAGACCCTGTCTCTAAATAAAATACAAAATAGGGTTGGGGATGTGGCTCAGTGGTTGATGCCCTTGAGTTCAATCCCCAGTTGCTGCCCACCCCCCCCAAAAAAAATTCTGGGAGACTTACTTACCTCTCTCTGCCTCCTTTTTATCATCTATGAAATGGTTAAGCAAGTTATTTTACATTTATATGTTAGAATTTTAGGGAAATATTAACATCATGTTCAGTATTTTCTTTCACTCACTATATGGGAAATTGCAAAATTTTAAATTAAAAAAAAGGAAAAAAATTGTATATAAATTATCAACATCAGAAACAGAGAGAGAAAGGAAAAAAACAGAGAGGGAAGACACAAAAAGAAAGAAAAAACTATCTGGAAGGAAATATTAACAGGGTAGCTCCTAGGACGGCTGAGTATTTTTTATTTCTTTATTTTTTGGTATTGAGGGTTAAACCCAGGAGCACTTAACCACTGAGTACATCCCCAGAACTTTCTTATATTTTTATTCTGAGACAGGGTCTTTCTTGCCCACGTCCCGCATAGGTAGTGGGAATGGGGTTCCCCTCGGTGGAATGGACTGGCTGAGAAATAAAAGCTAAGAGAAATAAAACTGAAAAAAAAAAAAAACAGAACACAGAAAGTCGTTTCAAAAGCAGGGACAGGACAGGCAAGCTGATCAGACTTCTAGACAAAATGAGGCCCATGCCTGCTTTATTTATATTGGGAAACTTGGGAAACATCAAAGAGATTCTACAGAATGTTCTTTTCCAAAAAAGATTAAAGGTTCAGTTCCTAATGGGTTATACCCATCTCTGGAGCTACTATAAGAAATCTTCCTAGCAGAGCAGAGGGAACGGTCACGTGCATTGGGCAATCTATGAACTTTCCCAATCCCAGGCCTCTCTCTTCCTGGCTTCCATACTGAAAGAAGATCCATGTATTTCACAAATGGCTTCTTGCAGGTCTCACAACATTGCTTAGGGCCTCACTAAGTTGCTGAGGCAGGCTTTGAACTTATGATCCTCTTGCCTCAGCCTCCCAAGTTGCTGGTATTACAGGTGTGTGCCACAATGCCCGGCCAATTCCTTTAATTTTTTTTATGGTGTGAAAACTCTTTGTGAAAGTATCATTAGCAATTAACTTGTAGAAAAATAAAAATACAAACTATAGTTTAATAAAACTCTAAGAAATACTTTTAAAACTCTAATAAGTGAAAATTAAAATGCCTACAGGGACCATGCAGTAACAACTGTGGGTGGCACTACAGGAACCCTAGGGAAAGGCAGGTGTGTCATCTAGCCAAGGGGAAAGGCTGCCAGGCTCCCTCCAGCAGGAATGTTTACCAGGGTTGTGAAGAGCTTCCTCTAACTCCTCAAAAAAAACCCTATACCTAGATTTTTTACTTATATAGGTTTTTCAGTAAAAACCTATTAGGTTTTTACTGAAACCTAATATTTGCACATCTTTATAGGGTATAGCCTGATAAGTATGATACTTTGATATGTATATAGAATGTGTAAAAATCAAATCATGGTATAAGAAATTTCATCTCAAATGTTAATCATTTTTGTGTTGGAAACTTTTGCATTCTTCTAATTTTTTGAAATATATTATAGATTGCTGTACATTAAATTCCTTTAAGAACTAAAAACAGCCTAACTGTATTTTAATGTGAAATTTCCTGATGTTTAAATGAAATTAGTTTGGCATTTTAAAATATGCAGGCAAAAAAAAAATGTGGGCTAAATTCAACTAGTTTTAATCTCCACACTGCAAACAGAAGAAATAAAAGAAGGGAATATATTTATTTCACAACAGAATTTATTCATGGTGTCCTTTACATAGCAACCTCTCCAAGTTTAATAGAAATGTGATTTGATGGAAAAAAACTCAAAGTTTATATCATTTTAGGAATAGATTCATTCCTAAATATAATGCATGTGGCTTTTTGAAAAATTAATTATAAAAGGGGACTGCTAAGTTTAAAACAATGCACACAATATAACATTGATGCTCATGTGCTTTATGACTAACCATTCTCTGGCTGCCCCTCACTTGCTAGCTCACTGGCTCACTCAGTTTCTCACTCCCTTCTGGCCCCTTCTCAGTGAATGTCAGCTATGTACTAAGAGGAAGTAAACTCATTACTATATTTCAGCAGCTCATCATCTCCCAGGCTCTCCATGAGGAGCCACCCTGGATCCAATCCATCTGCTACACAAGCTAGAGGGGTTGATTTGCATTTTCAAACTTAGGCTGCTGGAAACCCTGAGGTTTTGAGATACTGGGGATTGAACCCAGGGCCTCAGGCATGTTAGGCAAGTATTCAACCCAGCCGGAAACCCTGGTTTTGGACCATAATCCTCCCCACAGAACTCCTCCCTGTGAGCATCGCATCTGCCTTTTACCTTAGTGGCCTTCAGCTTCCATTCATATTGATTCCGTTCATTTTCCAGCTCTTCCACTTTGATTTTGAGGTGCTTGAGCTCTTGTAGTAATTCCTAGAAGGAACGGGGAGAAAGACAAAGTTCTAATGTTTAAAGGGCAGGCTCTGGGTCTCCAAACCTGGTTAAGCTCATGCAAAGACAATGCCAGGGGCAGCAGTAACCACATCAAGCTCTACACTGCAGCTTCCATTTTTAAACACAGTTTGTGTTTCAGGCAAAGCTTTGTGGCTGTGTTAAAAACAAAGGCCACAGAGTTCCAGGTATAAGAAAACTGTTGTTTTATTTTTAGAACTTGCTCTGCCTGCCCTTTTCTCTGATATTTATGTCCTATGTGGGGTATACCCAATTCATGCACAGGTGTGTAGGGAGCCTGGAAAGTAAGACTCAAGCATGAGAGGACCAGAGATGCCGAACAAAAGTGGGGTTTTTTTCCCCCTTGCAATTTAGGCAAAGGAGCAGGAAGCAGGTTACTTGGGAGCATCTCTCTGTGCTGAAGTTGGAGGAACAGTAGGTAGGGCAGGGTAGAGGTCAGTGACCCTTGCAGGTTTCACAGAGGAAGTGAAAGCAGGATAGAAATGACACACCAAGAGAACAAATGCTGAGTGTCAAATGTAGACACCCAGTATGAAGTTTTAATTCAAAGTAGGAGGTTAGTAGGAAAAAAGAAGAGAGCAAAAAGATACATGGGGGTTAGGAGAAAGGCATAAGACAGAAAGGGAGATAACCTATTATTGTGTTGGGCTGGATGGGTGTCAGCACACAGTGGGAGCTGAGGCTGGGAAGTTAAGATGGGGCTTTATTATAAAGGCTTTCAGATGAGACTATAAGGAATTCTGATGCCATCCTTTGAATGGTAGGGAGCCACTGACAGTGGCTGAGTGGAGAAAAGGATATTTAAACAACCTGCCTGTGTTCATATAGTTAGCAAGTGGTAGAGCTGGAATTCAAGCCCATATCTTCTGACGTTAGGGCCCTTGCTTTTTAAATTACTCCAATAAGAAGATATCACTAAGCTTTGTGGTCTTGAACCAAGATTCCCTATCAGATGAACTGGCATAAAAATCATTTTCTCCATAGGCTTTCTGAATTCCAGACTCACATCACAAGCTTCCTACTTAACATTTCCAAGCAGATATTACACAGGCATCTCAGAACTGTCATGTTCCAAGTGGAATTCTTAATTCCCCATCTTAGTCATTTGTCTCATCCATCTATTTGCCTGAGCAATTGGTATCTCTTTCTCCCTCTTCCCTTACATATGTAATTTATTTCCAGGCCTTTATCAGTTTTACCTCCAAGAGAATAACCAGAATATCTCATTTCTCTCCTATAGCAATGAATGTTGGTAGCCTGACAGTCTCTTCATTGATTGCTCCTTTGTTGCAATAAATGACTTCTATAGCATCCAGGGGAACAATATGATTAAAACACAAATCTGTTCACCATATTCCCTTGCTTCTCAAAGTTCATAAACTAATGCAGTCAGCCTAGCCTGCCCGCTTCCTGATCTCTTTTTCCATGTGACTGTTAATAGCTAGTTCTCCTATACTTTAAATCTACTAAGTGTTTACCAGCAGGTTCTGGTACATAGTAGGTATGCATTATTTATCAATGAATTAACACCTGAGTTCTTTGCATTCTGAAACACTCTGCTGCAAAGTGACATTGCTTACACTTAAATTTTGTAGGGGAACTTAAGATTGTCTTATAGCTGCGGTGAACATTGGTAACACCAGTTTAAAAAGAAAAAATGTCTTATAAACTCAAGTTATTGTGTCCATGATCCACATTGTTAGACTTCAAGGTCTCAGTCGCCTGTTTCAACTTTCAGCAACTAGGAACATTATTGGTCCTGCCTGTCGTGCTCCAATCCCTACAATCCCTACAAGGGGGTTCTTCTATTGTTCCTGAGAGGGCATGACAGATGGTACAATAGGAAAAGTAGAGGATACCACTATGGGGACGCAGAGGTTATGCTCTCCACGCTCTTGTGACTTCTTTGGCATATGGCCCCAGGCATGACCTCCAGGTCATGAAATCACTCTAATGTGATTATGTGGGGAATTTTTTTTTCCTGGAAATTCAGATGATGATTTAATTGTTATCAGCAAATAAAAATTTGTGTTTTATTTTCCCACTAGGGCTAAACCTCTTTAAACATAATTTGATTCTTTTTTATAATACTGTGTTTTTCCTTTAAAAAAGGAGAATCATGTGAAATGCAGTCCCATTTAATCTTCCAGTACAGGAGGAAGAATGTGACTGAATCTTGGGGAGGAGACTCCCAAGATTACCTTTTGCATAGATACCCCATTGCTCAGAGAATCTGACACACCTCATTCCTGTTGGAGGGCTGATTTACTTGCTCAGACCATGCTTAGTAAGGTTCTTAGAGCTCACCTCACATCACAAGAGGACTGAACAGTCCAATCTCTGATCCACGGTAATACCAGATCCATGCTAAGCCACTGCACTCTGTGCTGGTTAGAAGAGAAACCCCAGCCCTCCAGCAATGAAATGCTCCACACACGCATGCTCTGAAATACTTAAGTATGGTTCCTACAGGTGAACCCTCCCAAGGGGCACAGTTCTGGCTGCAGGGCTGGGGCTCAGCCATACAGCTGCTGGCCGCCACCTCCTCAGAGTGGTCCCTACTGAGTAAGAGGCGCTCTTGGATCTGCCTGTGGATGTCCATCTGCAGCCTACACATCTGCTCCTGCAGCTCACTGATCACATTCAGAACTGACTGTGGGAAGGAAGAGAAAGAAGAGAAAAGCACTCAAGGTCAGTGAACAGAGGCAAAACTCCTGTGGAGAGCAACATGGAAGGAAGTATACAGAGGGTAAGCACCAGGTGCCCCCCAAAAGTCACTGTCCATAGTAGACCATTCTCTTCTCAGGAACCAAAAGACGTGGCATTTTTCCTGAGACTTGTTGTATCTATAGCCTTTCTTCCAGTTTGAGCAAACCCCCGACACCTCCTTTGTGCTATGTTAAATGGCCATCCTTCCATGTCAACATCTGAGATGAACAGTCTTTGAGATTGCTTCACCTAAGCAGAAGCAACAGCAAAGACAGGCACATAATAGGGGCACACAGAAAGACATCTCCCTTCCACACACACGTGTCCATGCTACACATGCTAATTTCCCCATGCACACACCCAAACAAGCCAACAGCCACATACAAGTGACCTACACATTACACATGATGCATACATGATAATGTGTCCCCAACCCTATGCTCATTCAGATGTCAATAGACCTATTTTAGCACCCAGTCTATATGTCTTTGCCTTGTCTAAAAGACCATCCCAAGCAAGGTTTTGCAATGCCCCACTGAAGTGTGGACCTTCCTGGTCTACCACTATAAGACACACTCCCAGCCACACCAATGAGGTTGAATTTGAAGTGATTCACTCATAGTGGACACAGATTCCTACTTTTTCTTTTGGTTTCCCATAAATCATCAGAGGGCTGACTCCAAACCCAATAAAGCAAGTTTTACAGAACCCATCTAACTTTTTATTTTCACTATTTTAAAAATCAAGAAGGGTTCACTTTTAGTTTCCCAGCAACTCACTTGATTTTCCTTAACTCTTTCAAAAGTCACTTGCAAAAAACGGCTTTGGGACTGCTGTCCTAAGTTCTTTGCACCTGTCAGAGGCATTAGAAGGATCAAGCCTATTCTTCCTTTGATCTTATTAAAAATAAAGACATACCTTTTTAAAAGGCTTTCTATTGTCCTCAGCAGCACTATTCTTTGTTGGGAGTTTGCCCTTCCTGATACTGGTCATGCAGGTGCACTTTTATTTGTCTAGTAAATTTCCTTTCTATCTTTTGTATAGGTCCCTTTAAAATCTAGTTTCTCTCAAGGTATTGTTAAGTCCTTCCTTTTTATTGATACTATCTGTGAGGTGGCACAGTGAGAACTATATTATTTTTTTCAGCAGCTCAATATCATTGAATCATCTTCTCTTCTAGAGTTCCCCAGATTCTTTATTTCTAAACTTTCAAAGTGCATGTCTGTCTGTGCCTAGTTTTCCCCTTGCTCAATTACATGAACTTTCAAATAAAAATGACCACTCACTCTTAACACACTTTTCCTTCATAAAGCACTTTCTCCCTTTGCTTCAAATTTGTAGCTAGAAGGGCAGCTTTCCCAGTTTTATATTCTTCCTTTTTAGGTAGATCCTAGTAAATGAAAAAACTTTCAAATACTTCAGTATTCAACTGAAGACTTTTTAGGAATTATTCAAATAATTGTTGCCCCTTTCCCTCCATTACTGCCCCTTGTCTGTATCTGATCAGTTTGGGGATGTATAACAGAAATGTATCTATTTTTCTTCCTCTGCTTTGTGAGACCATGTGATACACCCAACACTGCCAAGCCATTACCCTTAGTTCTCCCTAACCACATGTTGTTATTGTTTCCTGGTATGTGTGTATCATCACATGTGACACTTAAATTTAGCTTTCTAATTCTTTATCTTCAGGGCTGGCCCATCTCCTCTCTTACTATAAATGTTTCTCTCCCACCTCACAAACTTTTTTAAAGCTGTTTTTTGCAAGTGATTTATCCATTCTTGAGTCCCACATCATGATGTTCAAGTTATGTTTATGAGATTGTAATTGCTGCTCTATGTTGTAATCTCAGTATATGCAGTTTGTTAATCCTGCTTTGCCAATCATCAAAGTTCATTTTTTCGGTTTTTTTCTATGTGAAACTACTCAGGACCTCCCACAATCATAGCTTTTCCTTCCCTTCCTACTAGTTAAACTGGTTCACAATTATCCTTAGTTTTTTTCTTTTCCTTTTCCTTTATTCCAATTTAATATTGTCCTGGCATTTTATTGATGGTAGAAATAACCTCTATATTAGGGCTGGGATTGTGGCTCAGTGGTAGAGCACTCCTCTAGCGCGGGCGGGACCTGGGTTCGATCCTCAGCACCACATAAATGATGTTGTGTCCATCTACACCTAAAAAAATAAATATATAAAAAAGAAATAACCTCTATACTCTATACACAGCAATTTGGAAATATATCAAAATTTCAAGTGCATGTACTCTTGACCCATCATTTCCACTTCAAGAGCCTCACACACGTTTGAGATTTTTTGCTAAAAGTATTATGTGTAACCACAAAAACTTGGAAACAAATGTCTACCAAAGAGAACTGGTTAAATTCATTAAGGCATAGTCAATAGAAAATATGCAGACATAAGTATATATGAGGAAGTTTTTGTTGTTGTTCTTATTATACTTAGTATGAAAAGAACTCTAAGACTGGTACATTTTTAAAAGAAAGGTTTAGAATAGTGAGAATTTGTAAACTAACTCTGTGTGTGTGTGTGTGTGTGTGTGTGTGTGTGTGTGTGTGTCTCCACAGGAATTGCTTGTCCGTGCATAAAATAACTGCAAAGATACAAAACAAACTGATAACATTGGGTCCTGACTGCTGGCTATCAGACAGGTATAGAAGGAGACCTTTTGCTATATATCCTCTTGAACTCTTGAATTTTGAATGATTGAAATATATTTCTTATACTAATGAAAAAAAGTATATTTATAAAAGCAAGAATAATAAAAATCTTCTTCCCAGGCCCATCCATGTCTGAGCACATAAAATGTTCCAAGCTCTTGCTCTGTGGCCAGAATCCATCATTTGGATTGCTCCTGCTGAGAAAGTGAAATCCCTCCCTTCTAAGGTCCTAACCACATGAAGAAGGAATGATAACCTCACCACCACCTGGGTTGTAGGCCTTCCCATGTTCAGCCAGGAAAACCTAAAGATTCTTTCTAGTTCTCTTCCTGTTCACATAAATCCCTGATAAATTGGGATAACTCCATTTGTCAGCACTCCTGGATCCCTGCTCCCCTCTTAACAGGCAGCTCTGGCAGCTATGCTCAGAACTCACTGGGTCCCACAATGGGATTCAGATGCAGGCTCCCCACACATCCCTTCTCCATACCCTTTTGATTAATATGCCTCTGAAATGTCTTTGATCTGCAGTACCATATAGAGGCTTCCTTTGCCCCTGAATCTTTCTGTGTGTGTGTGTGTGTGTGTGTGTGTGTGTGTGTGTGTGTGTGTGTCTCCACATGAATTGCTTGTTCATGCATAAAATAACTGCAAAGACACAAAACAAACTGATAACATTGGATCCTGACTTCTGGCTATCAGACAGATGTAGAAGGAGACCTTTTGCTATATCTTGAATTTTGAATGATTGGGGAATATTTCTTATATTTATGTTATATCATATTCATATTTCAAGTTATATAATCCTAAGTCTGGCACTAACTTTCCATCTTCTGTAATCTTGCTTTTCAGAAGTAAATCTAATTAATTAAATCTTGGATACCCTGATATAGCCCAAAACCATTGCAAAAGGTTGGAGAGAAAAGGTAAAATAAATAGGAAACCCAATATTCACCCTTAGCTCTTGTGAGCCACTACATAGCAACCCCTAAGCCGTACTGGCCATCAAAAAATCTGTGCCTCCAAGTCCTCAGGTCTTACTGAATGGCCACCAGAAATCATTTCCACAACACAGAGCAGACTTAAGAACCGTGGCTTAAAGGCATGATCAGAACCAGAGCAGAAAGAGCAGTCTGCAGCACTCTTGTTAACAGCAGCTTCTTTTTTTCATTGAAACATAAAATGGAATTTGAGGATAAAGCTGGAGCTATCCTGAGGAAGTTTACTTCAGTTCTGGCTACTTAAAAAAAAAAAAAAAAAAAAAAGTCCCGTCTTTTCCAAACCACAAGCAATCAGCCCTTAGGCTAAATACATTCACTGGAAAAAAACAGCAGCAGTATAGGAAGGAAAGCAGGATTCCCTTTATTCACACAATTACAACCTCTGGTGACCTGAGCTAGCAAAATGTCTCACTCAAAATAAACATCTCTATCACATGACCGCAGTGCAGCTTCAGCAACACTCATAATTTTAAGTCCCTGTGCTCCAGTAGCTACAGAGAGAGGCAGAGGACCTGAGTATACTAGCAAAGAGCATGCTCAGTTACAAGGATGAGGAATTTATTTCAGGTCATGTGGCTGCTCACTGAATATCACAGGTTTAAACAGTCTACAGAATTCCTCCACATGGAAACCTAATATTTGTACTAGCAATGGGGAAGGGCTGTGATCTGGTAAAACAAAGGCTAAAGACTCAGGGTCTACGTTGCCTCTTGCCAAAACTGCCTGATGGAAAAACAACAACAAAAAGCTCAGATTATAAAACAATGCTTCAGAAAAGAAAGAAAGAAAAAGAGAGAAAGAGAGACAGACAGAGAGAGACAGAGAGACAGAGAGAGAGAGAGAAGTAAAATGACTGCTTTAGCAATATATATCCCAGAAGTGGGAGCTCTCCTTTCTTTCTGACTTCCCCTACAAAGGGACTGAGTGGCCGCCACATTAACTGCATTTTTCCACAGGTGGACTGACTCTCCACTCACACATCCCACACACGTAATCCCTATACTGACTGGTGTACAACCAGGCAGGTGACCAAAATTGGCCCAAAGAGATGCAACCCTAGGGCTTTTTCTGGAATCTTTAAGAAAAAGAATGTCCGCAGGGGCTGCCAGCCTGGCAGGACATCAATGCACAACTACTGACAGCATCTTTGTTACCAGATGGTAGAGACTTTCTGAGAATAAAAGAAAACCAAGTGATACAGTAAAATTGATTTTTAATGACTCTGTGAGATTACCCTGATCTAGTCATATCAGACTTTTTAAATCCCAGACTTTTCAAGCTATGTGACATAACAACTCTCTCTTCTTTTTTTCTTAAGTGTCTTTGAGTTGACTTTCTGCAACTTTAAGCCTTCTCACTAAGCTTTACTGAATTCTGCCTCCAAAGCCCTAATGTATATTCACATGTAATTACATATCTTGAAGTATTGGTAAAGTGACAAAATCAGAATAAAACCCAACTGCTTTTCTATGAACATTTAAGACACAGTCCATTTGATTAATAAATACTTCATACAGATTGGTTTTTTGTGTCTGAGACCTCTGAGATATGTAAATATGTATTCAAGTCTACATTTCCATTTCTAACATGCTAACAATGCTATCAGTAAGTGATCAATAAAAACTGGCTATTACTATGTGTCCTGCACTGAGTTAAGGACTTCACATACATGATCCCACTCACTCCTCAGGACAACCAAAGAAATAGCAAGTATTGCTATCTCTATCATTTTATAGGAGAAGAAATGGGGATTTGGGAGTGAAATTACTTGGCCAATATCATAAAGCTTCTGAGTAGTTTAGCATGGGTCAAAGATGGAGCTCTGAATCTACAGCCTGTACTCTTAATCACTAGAAACTACTGTCTCAGCTTACTAGAGATATCCTCCTTTGGCAACTCACTATACTTCTTACTAAATACAAGAAGTGGGTTTTCAAAAGCAATGTAAAGAATATGCCTACACATTGAAGTGTCCCAATTGCCAGCATTTACCCAATAAACAGAAATATGGCACGTGTCAGTGCAAACAATGTTGATGTCTTTCAGAAAGGAACAATATGCATGTTTAGAGTTTTAAGAAGCCTAGAGATGAAGATAAACCAAGTACATACAAAATGCCAAATTCTAAACATGCATACTATGATAGACACTTAACTTTTGTAAGTTTATTTGGTCTTCACCACAAAGTTATCCATTTTATAGATAAAAAAAATGAAGTTTAGAGAGATTAAGTAACTAACTTATTGAAGTTCATAGAGCTACTGAGCAGATATATATGAGTAAATCTGCCTAGGTTTTTCTGAAACCAAAACTTAATCTTCGTTTGTACCTCATAATGCTGGGTGTAAATATAAAGATTTGAAGGTAAAGACACATGAAGGTGGTTGTCTAGGGTTAAAACAGGCTGATCTCTCAAATAAAAATGCTACAGAGCCTAACGATCTCTAAACCTTTATCCAAAAAGGAGTCTGGCATGCTCTAACTAATGGCAAATGGGGCCTCAAAAACAAAAGTAAGAAAATATTCTTTTAGACAAGGCATGTGCACGGGCACACCCATATGACCCATAAGAAGAAAAGAAACATGCAATCTGAGGGCTCCATCTGGGTCAGTGAAATGTATGTAAACAAAATGTCTCCAGACTCTCTGGATATAGTGACAGTGGCCTGTTGGGAAGCTGTACTTCATCCCAGTACACTGTAACTACCTTGGTTCTTACAGAAGACATTTTGTGTCCCTCCATGTTTGTCTGATTCTTCCCTCATTACTGCATGCCTTTCCATCCTTGTCAGCAGTTTGAGGGAGGATAAAAACTTAGAGCCAATACTGGGTGGTTTGGGTATTGCTGAAATTTGCAGCCACAGCAAAACCTGATAACTTGATATTAACAAATCATTGTGTCACTAGTTGCATAGATATTCCTGGCACCCAGTGGCTGCCACAATTGGGGTTGACCAGATGGCTGAGTCCATATTAGGATATTCAGGTCTAAGCTTAGTACAATTATAGGACCTTCCAGAATTTGTTGTATCATACCCACCTCTGCTTTTCTCTGCTTTTCCTCTTGCTCTCTTTGCTCCTTCTCCATGCCAACCAGCTTGAGCTTCAGCTCAGACACTTCAGTCATTAGATCAAGCTTCTGGGTCTCAAGAGATGTGCGACTTAACAGCTCCTACAAGAAAAACAGATCTCAAATATCATAAACCAACATTGCTACAAGGATAGCTCTAGCTCCATCTATAGATGTAAGGCAGTATCTAAGTTGTATATTGCACACTACAAAACTGAGACTGCTGCATATAACCTCCAGGTCTATTAGAGATGGACCAGGGCTGACACTGGTTCTCTCAGGGATAGCACATGCCCTGGTGTGACCCACTGTGATTTTTGAAAGACAATATGAATTACAATTATCAAAACACATGTTTCACCACAGAAAATTCTTGTTAATTATTTCCAAACAGAAAAAAAATACATGGGTACTCTCAAAGAATCAACTTCTTCCCATCTCTATTTTTAAGGCAAATTAGCAGTTCCTCTTTACCATATAAACAAAAATTCACATTAATAATGTCTTTTTCAAAACCAAAGTTTCTAGATCACCTGCTGGGCACAGTCAATATTGAGTCCAATCTCCAACCATCTCAATATAAGATCTCATTACAGTGAACACAGATGGGATTTAGAATAGAAAGTGGGTATTTATGAGTATTTATTTGATGATTGTATAGGAATCTTAATATGAGATGGATCTTTTCTGAGAAGTACCAAAATTACAATTTGAACATTGTGGTACATAAACAAGAAGGCTGTTCTTTCCTGATTGTGAGGAGAGATCAAGAAAGTTATTACTAGTCCTGCCAATGCTAGAATGGTGACTGACTACAATCAGATATCTCAGATGTTTAACAACAAATTTGTCATAAATACATACACTTATAAAATACACTTACTAAAAAACAAAGGAGATAGTAAAAAATCTATTGAGGGTTACTAGAAATTATAAAAGACTTCAAAAACCAAAAGCACTTCCCAAAGTTCAGGACAACAGATATTTCCATTGGCAAATAGCAATGTCCTGTCATGGTCAAAATCCTGGCACATGGTAGTTCCTGGCAAGGAGAATGTTCCTGGCAATCAGGACAGCAACAGACCAAAGTATTAGACAGAAAAGACATAATATCCTTCATTGTTCTACACATTTTGTATCATCTTGGGCATCCCAACCCCAGTACAACAATGGTGATCTCAACATTCTGACCTAACAGTTCTGATTTCATAGATTTAAAACTGTCCTCAGGTCATAAATCAAACCAGAGAAGACAGATAGTTTGACTTGTATTACATAATTCCCCAGGTTAAAGGCTGCCAGTACCTGGGATAAACTGCTCATGTGCTAACCTGAGGGGATGAAAATCTAGAAGTCCATCAACTCAGTGCAATGGATTCTCTGAGCTCTGAGTTTAGGAGGTGGTTTCTTCCTGGACTGGCCAAATTAGAAGCTGACTGACAGGGCAGAGGCAACAGCTCTGCAGAGCCAGAACTGGGCTACTTGGCTACAAGGAGTCAGGCAGATAAGTGTGTCCAATGCAATGGAGAATTTGGATTTGTTGAGTGCCTCCTCTGTGTCAGATACTGCTGGGTAATTTCACATATATCCTCTTAATAAATCCTCTTAGGAATTTGACAGTAAATATTAGTATCCCAGTTCTATAGATGAGGAAACAGAACTGTAAAGGGTAAGTAAATCTTTTGGCCAAAGACACATGCTAATCATCAGTAGCATTAGTTTTCAAACCCAGTTCTGTTTAATTCCAGAATTTATTTCGTCTAAGGTATCACACTGCTTCCCAAACAGAAAAAAAATACAAGAATTTTGAGGAAAAAAACCATATATACATAGTAATAAGCAAATTTGCACTGAGCCAAGGAAATATCCTCTCATATTGACAAGATTTCATTGAGCCACATACTATCTACCAGGGTCTGATGCTAAGGTTAGGCAGGCCATGGAGGGCCTTAAGCAATTCTTCCCTGGATGGAGGACACACAGAAATTATGAGTTCTCTTGGTCTTGAGTATTTGAATTTCTCAAGATGTAATCATCCCCATATCACCTATTCCCTTAACCCCCTCCTCTTCTTCTTTCTCCCCCTGACCCTTACTTTCTACCATCTCATTGTCTATCTCTTCCCATCTTTCATCTACCTGCCTTGTTTCAAAAATGATTTAAGGAAGTTTGAAAAATATATATATCCAGGTTAAAAAAAATCCTAAAATTAAAGCAGATAGAAATAGAAGTTGAACTCAAGAGTTTCAGTTTGTGGAAAACTCATGCTATAAAGTCCTGTGAACAAGTAGGAATGGACTACAATGAATATGCAAGCTTACTTACTGCAATGCAACAGAGAAAAGGAAAAATTTCACAAATTAAGGTCCACAAGAACAATTACTTCAGAGATCTAAAAAGAAAAGTTCTCTAGGAGACTTCATTTATATTTTTAAATGCTTACCAGAAGCCAACACTTAGGGACATCATGTTAAAATACAGCCCTTGTTGACTACTTGAGTGCTGTAAGATGATATTCATGCAATTTTTCTACTGATGAATGAGCATTCGAGATACTGCTTTGGTGGAATTCAAAAAAGCTTCAGAATGTGTCTCCCTTGAAAGTTAAAAGTCTATTCTGCTTCCACTACTGCCAAAATCTCTCTAGCTGTTTTAACTACCAGTTGTAATTGGTCATACCAATGTTCTAGCTGATGAGAATAATATTGTAATTGGTTCCAATATCCAGTCCAATTAGCCAGTTTTTCACTTGGTCATGCTCACATTGAAAGTGGACATTCCAGTTGGACATGCTAGTGTTAATTAGAAACCTATTATGATTCACTAATAATAAAGCTTTGGCTTACTGTCTCCTAGCTTATAACTATTAGCATGTTCTTCTACCTGTGATGATCATCTTCCCTTTGTCCTTGTCAATAAATGTTCTAGTACATGAATTCAAAACACAGTCTTCAGTAAGCTTACTGCAATCCAGCTCTACTTCACTATCTCCGGACTGAGCAAGGCCTCTTACCACTTATTACGTACTGGAATCTCTAAAAATGTATAACTTAGTAGGAATTAATAACTGACATTCTCAATTACTCCTTCTACTTCCAAAATAAACAGAATCTTGTATTTTTTCACAGTGGGCCATGTTCTTCCAGTCATCTTAAGTGGAGGACACTGTGTTCCCACCAACCCAATTTACTGAACACCTTCATCCCTGTTCCAGGACTGCTTCCAGACCACTGTTTGTCTCCACTAATCATCTACATCAACCCTCCTCTTATAAGGCAGCACCATTCAGTTATATTCTCCCCAAATATCCAGAACCAAGACATTCTCTCATTTCCCATCAACAGCTTTCATCAATATCTTTTCTACCTACTTTGGGCACTTTGTGTCTCCTCAGTAGATTCAACATCATCGTTAATGATTTTTCTGCTCAGTAGTCACATTGACCTTCTGTTCAGCTTCACAGTGAATCTCGGCTCCCACAGGCTTTACTTCTACTTCCTTTTAGCTTCTCAGCAGCATGGCCAGAGCTTGATTCTCATCTTTACCCAGAATGTATATTCTCTGCTTCTAAAATCCTCAACTCCGAAATTCCCTCCACTGGCCACAATCTTCTAACCTTTCAACTGCCCTACTTGCTCACTCAATCTCTAATTTCTTCTTCTGTGACCACTAGTTACTTAGTAACTCATTGTTTTCCTGGTTTATCAACTTCCTTTAAGTAGTACTTGTCTCCCTATCCACTAGATAACCATAAGGTTAGTCATTTCAATTGTACTCTTATTTATACCAAAAAAATCCTTCACCCAGCTCACCCTACTCTGAAACCTGATGTATTGTGTGTTTATTAGAGCCCAATTCAGCCAAGTCTCAGTCTTTTGTTTGTTTCCATTCCCAATGGCATGACAATTACTAGCAAAAGTCATTTAATGATGGTTTTGATACAAATTCACACTATCAAATTACAGTCTATCTTCCAATGCTGCCTGAAAAATGTTGTGCTCATCTCTGATTCCTTTAAGGGATTTCTCCAAATCTTTTCTGTTCTCAAGCCATAAACCCCACAATGCACCCCTCTCCTCTTCAAATAATTTCTCCTCGTGTTTACTGAAAAGCGAAAAACCAACAGATTATTCACTGAACTTAAGTTCTTCCTATTTCAACATTTTCCAGAATCATCTCATTCTTATCTCCTAAATCCCTATCTTAGAAGTAGCAAGCACTCGGCTCCTTTCCAAGGCTAATGTGCCACAACAGCACATGGCCATCCTCTCTGTCAGGTTCTTTCACTTTTTAGAACAGTTCTCTAGCCCAAAAAGTTTCCAGATTGCACAGAAAAAGTATGCATCAAAGGATACAGTGCTTCCAGAATTTGTTCCTGAATCGTCACCTCTCACTGACCTTCCTGTCTCTTGCCATTTCTCAGTCTCCAGATTCTTCAGGCATCCTCACACGACCTGATGAAACTTAAAAGTTATCTTTGACTTTGTCCCTGTGTTATGGACCTGCTTCTCTCTCTAGCTGGTAACTCAGAATGACTCCCATTCACATGGCCCTAGCCTCTCCTTCACCTCTGTGCTCTGTTTGAGGAGTTCCCAGCAAGCTCAGTACTAGTCTAGGGTAGGACCATCAATCATCCACTTTGACAGGCATTTAATCTCTCCTCACCATCAGCTCTCATTCCTCAGGCTATAAACATGATCAAATTTCTGACATTCTTAAGAAACTCCCCTCTTGACCCTAACTGCCCCTCAAGTTACCACCATCAACTCCCATGTCCTCTCCCTGGGCAAGTACATGCTGTGTGTTTAAGTGCTGTGTTTCTCTGCCCTTTCCTCCCCTATTCATAACCAAGCTTTAAAAATAATATATCTCTGGGGCAGGGGTTGTGGCTCAGTGGTAGAGCGTTTGCCTAGCATGTGTGAGGCATTGGGTACAATTCTCAGCACACATGTAATTTAAAAATAGGTCCATTAACAACTAAAAAATATATATATTAAAAAAAATAATCTATCTCTGCTGCCTCATCTTCTCAACAAGATGTCTGCCTACCTGAAATCTGGTTTCTGCCTTCACAAGTAAGGCACAGAAAAAGTTCTAGTCTG